GGTATCTGCCTAGAGCACTTTCTGCTGAAGATGTCAGCCATTCCAGTCCCCCATCTCCACCACTACCCCCCATGAGTATCCCACATCCTCTGAGCATGTACAGTCCTCAGTGGGTATAGGGGCATTTTTTTTAATTTTAAAGGATTTTTTCCCTAAGAGGTTTTTTTTTTGTAAATCCAGGGCTCCTGAAAATTTGCTGCTACCTCCCTCCTGTGTATCCATGGTGCCATTTTAAGCCACAGTTTAGTGGAAGATTTTTGAAGTTCAGGAGTTCATCAGGACAGTTCCCACAGTCATGCCCCAAAAAGAGTCCAAAACCTTGGGCAGCTGCCTTGATCCCTATCAACAAGCCAGTTCTTGGAATTTTCCTCTCCAGGTAGAGCGGGCCTTTTGTAAAGCAAATGGATCTTGATTGTTCACCAAATACCTTACAAAGACTGGGGAATTTAGCCCCCTCCCCCAATCCTCACCTACTATAAGGATCATAGTTAAATTCAGAGGGAACAGAAAATCCTGAGTGGCGCTGCATCCCCAATAATAAAAAGAAGTTCCAGCACTGAATCCCTGCAGAGCCGGACTCTGCTAACCATTAACTGTACTTCTCCGAGGTCGCTGTTATTAGATATCGTATGCCAAAGCTTGGGCAGCTGTATTCAAAGAACTTTTTTATTAGAAAATGCAAACTTGAAGAACATGGAGATATGCAGAGTTCTCTCCCATCATTACAGCAGCTCTTCTGATTGCATTTGCCTTGTGAGTAATAAAATGACTAAGTATTGCTTTTTGCCCCATAAGTGGATTACTTTCTGGGGAAGCCGGCAAATGCCCCAACCCATCCCGTCTCCCACTCCTCTCCCCGCTCCCCCCCCCCCCACACACAGGGGCCTCGGTCCTTCTGAAGGTATTGCCTGACTGGATTTTGAAGATGGGGTGCAGGGTGGGGGCAGGTTCTACCGGATTTAGGTTTTCTAGAAAAAACTTTTGGATCACCACATTTTTTGTTTTTTGCTCTCGAAAAGGACAGCCTGACAGAAGATGGGGGTACTCTAGGGTGCATTCTTCCCCCAGGTCTCTGTGGGCCTTTAAAAGGGTCCACCCTCATGGCAGGTAAATGTGGCTGCAGTGGCCAGGATGCAATTATCTCTTGCCAGAAGGAAAGAGCAGGTCATGCTGTATTACAGTCCCATTGCAGCAACAGAACCATCGTGACAGGTTGATTGTAAACAGAGTCCCTGGTATGAGAAAAGCAACAGCTCAGAATCTTGTGGCATCCGGGAAAAAATGCGTGTACTGTCTTTCAGCTGCCCCCACGGTTTGTGTTGCTGCAACAGACTAACATAGCCACCCAGTGGAGCCCACAACTCTAGTTTCCCAGGCAATTGAATGGTTCCGTTTCTGTTGCTTTTAACACCATTACAGTGAAATCCAATCAATGTTTAAACAGAAAAATTAAACAGAACTCCCATCATTCCCTAGCTGGCCATACTGGCTGCAGCATATTAGGAAGCTGTAGGGTTCTTTTGCTATGTAGTTACACACAGCTGCTGGTTTTTATTTGGGTTTTACACAGCTGGGTAAGATTCAAAAGTTCTGTCTTGTGTTTATCATGCGGAATTTCAGAGCTTTAATTTTGTGAACCACCGAAAGACTTCAGCCATTGAGCAGTATAGAAATGAAATAAACATTCACAGGAGCCAAATTGTAAAACCAAAACAATCCCAAGAAACACCCCTTAAGAACTGGGCCAGTCATATTTTGTGCCTTTGCCACCCTGGAACCTTCCAGAAGTTTGGGACTACAATTCCGATAATCCCTCATCATGGACCATGTGGGCTGGGGCTGATGAAAGCTGTAGTCACGAAAGTCTTTCATGAGGAAAGCTGTTGTCCATGAATCTAGTATCCATGTTTTGTGGACCTCATCAGGGTGCCTTTAAGTCAGTTGGAAACAGGATTGTACAGACAGATTGTTTTACAGGTCAAATTTTATATAACCTGGGCCATTGCACTAATCAAAATGTTTTGATCATTATTCTCAAATCTCCATTATTACTTGCATTATTATAAACATAAAATATAAATCCCTATTTATTTATTTATTTATTTATTTATTATTTAAAACATTTCTATGCCGCCCCATTCGCCGAAGCCTTGGGGCGGCTCACGACATAAATTAAAATATAATACATTAAAAATATAAAACAAATTAACAATATAAAATAAGTCGCCCTGGCCAGATAAAATAAGCAATTAATATTAACAATTAAAATGACGTTTAAATAAAAAGGTCTTCATCTGGCGCCGAAAAACAAATAACGACGGCGCCAGGCGGGCTTCTCTGGGGAGCGCATTCCATAGATTGGGGACGACCACAGAGAAAGCCCTCCTCCGAGTACCTACCCTCCTAATTTCTTTCACGGAGGGTTCCCGGAGAAGGGCCTCTCCCGCAGATCTCAAGGGGCGGCCCGGCATATATGGATGTAAGCGTTCCTTCAGGTAACCAGGACCCAAGCCGTTTAGGGCTTTATAGGTCATCACCAACACCTTGAATTGGGCCCGGACTTCAATGGGAAGCCAGTGAAGCTGACGGAGGACTGGAGTCATGTGAACACAACGCCCAGTCCCCGTCAGCAGCCTGGCAGCTCTGTTTTGAACCAGTTGAAGTAGCCGGACCGTCTTCAGGGGAAGCCCCACGTAAAGCGCGTTACAAAAGTCTAGGCGGGAAGTCACCAGCGCGTGTGTCACTGTCGCCAGGCAGTCGTACTCCAGGTAGGGGCGCAGCTGATGGATCAGCTGAAGCTGAAGGAAAGTGCTGCTCGCCACCGCTGTCACCTGAGCTTCCAAACTAAATGAAGTGTGTTCCTTAATGCAATAACAACAGTAGTTAAATTTATGAAGGAAAGAGGAGCATTCAAAGTGAAAAAAAATCTACAAACACTAGAGGTGTCTTTAGCAGTTTTCTCCTTTTTAGTTAAAGTACAAATTTAAATCGGCACCTACAGTTATTATTCTTTGCTTTACTTTTAAAACAAGCACTTGCAAGCCAGCTCCCAGATTCTCAAAGTTATAGCCCAAAACATCCAGAAGGTGCCAATGTAGGGAAGGCTGACATATAAGATTACAATTCCTGGTGCCACAGAAAACAAGGCCATGCAGCTTCTCTGACTGTTCCTTCCTGGCCCTGTCAATCAACTGCTTCACTCACCGAATGGCCAAAATTGACTAGCACTCCAGATACACCGCATAGCAAACAAGATGGACAACAGGGCCAGGCAGGAGGCGCTACGGCAGTAGGGTAACCAGATACAAAAGAGGACAGGGTTCCTGTCTTTAGTGACAATCTAGAAGAAGAGGAAATTTAAGCAGGTGCAGGACAAACTTGACATACTAGAATTCCTCTGACTGCACCACTGTTCAAGGCTCTGCTCTCTTTTGCCTCAGTAGACAGAGGCGCCTTGCCTTACTCTGAGTTTTGTCTTGCTTTTTAGAAATCCTGGATCTGGAGAGCCTAACTATGACCTCCGAAGCAGGCCACTAGCTCCTCTTATTTCAGGATACCCCTGGTCCAGAAAAGCCATGCTTCAGTGGTGGTGTGCCTTCCCTGCTTGCAGGAGGTCTAGGTTTAACCCTTGGCAAGGGCAGCCCTACCATTAGGAGGAGTGAGGTGGCTGCCTGGGCTGTAAATGCTGGGAGGCAGCAGCACGGAGTCGTAAGGGAAAGCTGTGAGCCATGCTGCCTAGCCTGGGCCCCTCTCAGCCAGCCTGCTGCCTTCAGCCATGATGGAGGACGCTGTCCTGATGCCCACACTGAACAGCCACTTCGGGCAGCTTCCGTGCATGGAGCGAGAGAGGGACACCCTCTTGTTCTTTGGCTCAGACAGCGTCATGTCTTGCGCTGGCTTGATGCCTGGCATTTCCAGGTAGGGCCGGGAAATTCCTGCCTAAAACCCTGCAGAGCCACAGTCCGTGTTGACAGTACTAGACAGACCAAAGGCCCGATGCAGTGCAGCGTGGCTTCTGGCATCTCGCTTTGGCAGTGCTGATCCGCCTCTGGTTGCTGGCACCTTTTCTGCTCCCAGACCACTGGGCACCATTCCCCTTCCCTGGAACGCAGGAGTCTCAAATCTCAGCTTCTACCTGCTCCTTTCCCTAGTCCTGTATCCCCAGACCTTCCCAGAGAAAGTCCAGGCAGGATGGCCCCCCTCATCACAAGGGACATGCTGCATGGATTAAACCATGGCAAACCAAACAGCAAGGCCTGTTTAAAGTGCTGTCGATGTGGCAGCAAAGCAGATTCCCTTTGCGACGAAAGGCTCACCACTCCAGTGCCCTTTGCCCAAGCCAGGGTGGGGCTATTGGAAAGCAGCCTGGCACTGCCTGCCAGCTGGAGAGAAAGGTATATGTCTGAACAGGTGGAAAGACAAAGCTAGCAGCCCATTCCAAGGTAAGGAAATCCTTGACATTATTTTAAGCAGGACCCAAAAATCCTGAGCCCCAAATTCCCTGTTCCTGAGCCCCACGAGGAATGCTGATCTTGCCTGCTTCCGAACGGTATAATTTGTGCCGGTTCCCATTTCCTCGTGTAGCCCATTCTCCTCATGGCCTCTGGATCCCATGAAGTGGATCTTTCACTTTAATTGAAGAGGCCCAGCCTTGGCGAGAGAGAGGCGGGGCAGGGAAAGTTTATAGGTATACTGTTAGTGGAAATCTTTCTTCCTTTTGTTCTTTCATTCCAGTGGGCAAGGCAGGGACTTTCTGGAGAGGAGATGAGTTTTGGAATCATCTAGTTGATGGGCTTGGTCTGCTGCGGTCTAACCCACAAAACTGAACCTCTCTCCTAAACCACCACCTTGCAAGTTTCTAAGATGCTGCCTCTTTGCTCTGTCACAACAGGACATTAAAATCCAGGGATCTGACCTCTTTCCACTTCATTCCTAAAGAAGCCAGCAATCCTGGATCCCAAGGCAGCTCTTGATGTGGTCTCCATCTGTTTCTCATCTTTAGGTCTTCTGCCACCATGCGGCTCTGGGTCCTGCTTCCCATGGTCCTAACTGTAGGGGGGATTATCGGCTTCTGGGCTGTGTGAGTAATCAATCCATGGCACGGTGGGGGAGTGAGTGAGGCATGGCTAAGAGCCAACTAGAACCAGCTGAGCGGGAGAGCTGGGAGGCAGGAGGTGTCAGCTCAGATCTGGTCCTGGGATGGCAGCAGGAAGGCATTCAGTGCTGAAGCACCTGTTTTCCATGTAGAGAGTTACAGGTTCAATTCCTGAAAATGGGAGTGGGGTGCTAGGTGCAGAGAAAATCTGGGTGTTTGGCCCACAGGACAAAAATACAAGCAAATATGTATATGCTGATTTACCAGTGCTCTCAAGCACCCCCCCACACACACACACAACTGTGTCTTTAAAGGATCCTGTCTCCTAAGGGCACACCTATTTGAAAAATGGGGTGTATGGACAGCAGGAGGCGGGCATTTAATTTCAGAACAAAGCTCAGGCAGAAAGACTCGGGCAGGGAAGAGCAGGAGGTGACGTGCATGTGGGCAAAACACCAGCCAGTCCAGGGGGACTGATGCAACAGAGCTCAGCAGAGCTCCTGTGCCCTGATTTCCATTAGTGACCCTGGGCGGTGGGGTAGGCAGTCTCCCGCTGCTTCAGGACTCCTGACAAACCGCTTGTGGCTTCAGCCCTGGGGGCCACTGCCTAGCAATGTTTCTGCCTGGCAGCTCCAGGTTTGCAAGAGATGGGGATGCTTTCTCTTAGCCAGAGCAGTTGAAATATAACATTCTGAGCTAGATGAATCAATAATCCAACCTGGTCCAAAACAACTTCCTGCTTTTATTTTTGCTTTAGGGTTATTTTGTTTGTTGTGATATAAATTAAATGCAAATGACAGTCTAGCAAGTCCCTCTAGAAAAAGCCCTCCTCCCCCTCGTCCTGCCCCTAAGGAGAGTGGAGTATATCCATCCAATTTAGGGTGACCAACTTCTGAACTTGGTAACAGCAGTTTCAGTCTCAAGTGACTGACGGCTGATCAAGCTTAGCTCCCCATGAAAAGCATCACTTACTGGTAGTGGTATACCAAGCAGGTTAGAGCAATGGGTCAGCTTTCCCCATCCTGGTGCCCTCCAGATGTGCCAGACTACCACCCCCATCATTCCCAGTGCTGGCTGGGAATGATGGGAACTGTAGTTCCACACATTGCACAGGCGCCAGGATAGGGAAGGTTGAGATAAGAGCAAGCCATTAAAAAAAAAAAAAAAATACCTCCCCATCTTTTTGTCAGGCCTGCAGTAATATGGATCAAGGTGCTTGTGTAGGCATACTGCACAATGCTTACCTTGGTGTGCATCTTCCAGATGGAACGCTCCTACTGCCAGTGACCCAAACGTCTTGCACAACTATTTCATCTCTCCTTCCTTAATGGGAAACATGGAAGGGCTACATGGATTCCCTGGTAAACTTCAGTGGATGAGGCAGGGGAATTGCACAATAAATGCCTCACCGGGGAACATCCCATTGACTAGCCAGTTTAACCACCCTCAAGCAAAATTATGAGAAAATGGTATTGTTTTTCAGTGCCTGGCAGTCACCACAAGTGGTGCGATTTGAGTTACATGCTCAGTTCTGTAGGATTTCAGTGCATTGTTTCGGTTGCATAATTTCTCAGTGGCATATGGGAAAACTTGAAAACACTTAACTACTTTAATTTCTAGGGAGATATAGCCAGGGCTGGTTGCAGCCTTACCTAGACAGTCTGACAGCTTCAACAAACTCTGATTATTGCACAGATGTTAGCACTCTTATCTAACTATGAATTAAACATCATGGATGAGCCACTCCACATTTGGCTTAGAGGTTGTGATGTGCAAACCCAGAACTCTTGTATTACTTAATGTTAAACAAGCTAGAATTTTAAGCCAGCATTCACCCATGGTTTGTTGTTGAGTTAAAATTCTGGATTATTTAACCTGCAACAACCTCTCTTCTCTCCTCCTGCCTGGTCTTCTTGTACATTTATTCCAGTTGAAAAGCAAGCATCAACCCACAAATTTTCTCCCAGTGCAAGGAAACTGACTGCGGAGCTTTCTGTTTTGGGAGATGTGTTACAAGAATGTGTCAATGGATTAAAAAGACTCAAACATGCATTGGTGGTCTGTCAGCTGCAGCCGATTCATGAGGTTCCTCTTTCCTCAGATTCGCCATGGCAGTTGCAAATGGCTCCGTAAATGTCACAGAAGCATTTCCATATATCAGGTATGGGTTGACTGGATTTCTTCAGAAGCTCTCCCTGGACTTGCTCTAACTACCCTTGTCTCAGGAAATCAGGTTACCTTATGGAAGAGAAGAGCTTTTTGGATGATTTCCCAGTCCTGTGGAATAGCCTTTCCCAAATTTATCTACCTTCCTCTTGCATGTTAAGTTATTTGATAAGGCAGCCTTCCATTTACAAAGGGAGGAACAGCCATGGTCGAAAGGACTTAAGGTGGGGGTAGGTATGTTCTGGACCAATGTTCCACTGCTTGTGGAAGTTGCATTCTAGGATAGTATTCTTACTCCTTTTTGCTCAGGAGTACGATCCATTGAACTCAATGGGACAGGCTTCCGAGTAGATAAAGAACCCTAACAACTGTTACCTATGGAGGGTGCCGGGATGGAAAAAGTATCTGACTACAGTTCCTATAATCTGCAGCCAGCATATATGAGCTGGCTAGGCATGATGGGAGTTGTAGTAAGCATGGCTGGAGGGCACAATGACAGGAAGGCCTGGAAGAGCCATTTTTGCCAACAGAATTCCTTCTGTTGACTTCTAATCCTATGAAATTTCCCAACTTGACTATTCCCAGCACCTGTGGCGCCTACCCACCCCAGAGCTGCCTGTTTGGTCAAGTTCTCAATCTCGGAGCTTTTTTAGGTAAGTTTGGTCTTTCTTTTTCCATTTTCCAAATGCTGTTTACAAGGCCAACTGTTGTTATTCATTTGTTTTTTGCCTTTAGCAGAGGTCTTGTTGATGGTTTTGTTAGGGTAACTTGCTTGAAATATCCTCCTTTTGGGTTCTGTTCCTTGTCTAGGCATTTAATCTCTGAAGGAAGAGTAGAGTTTGATGTCTATCTTCTCCAGTGTACAGGCAGGCCAACGCATTCACAAGTACACTAAAGCTGCTGTCTTGAGCATGCACAGTTAGAAATTAGTTACATTGAACTTAATGGAGCTTGCTTCTCAGTAACTGGGCTGCAAGGAATGTGCTCCCCAGAGAGGTCCACCTGGCGTCGTCGTTATTTGTTTTTCGGCACCAGGCCAAGACCTTTTTATTGAAACAATATTTTAATTGTTAATTGTTGACTGTATTTATTGGTTTTTATATCTGTGCCGAGATGTCTCCGGATTTTTAAGGTTAATTGTATGATTGTTTATTTGTTTTGTAAGCCGCCCCGAGGCTTTTTGCAAATGGGGCAGCATAAAAATGTTCTAAATAAATAAATAAAGAAGGAACCCTGCAGTACACCAGCTGCTGAGAATATTGTGAACCTTTAAGAAAGGTTGCTTGAATACTCTTTGCTGCCAAAGACAGAATATTCTCCTGTAGAGCTACCCCAAATTCTATACTAACCAAGCTAAATTCTGCAAGCTGTGCAACTGTATTTCATTTGATTCCTCATTCTTAGATGTGTACTAGTCACTGGGAGAGGGAAAGTCAAGCACAATGAAACCTGCCCACCTGACATCCTGCCTACTCCATCCCTGCTTCCTTTCTCCAGCTTAAGGGCTAGAAACTTGCTCTTCATATTTTAAAAATATGTTTGAGATTTCAGGATGCAACATCCTTCATCCACTTCCCAGTTTTTATATAGATATAATAGGTATGGTACATACAACTACTTTGGAAGAGCAGAAAAAGTAGCCTACAGTGGAGTGATTTTAGGATAATATTTCTTTCAGGTGTGGTGATTTGCTATCTGAGATACCAACAGGTGCGAGATTACGGCTGTCATTCCCACTTAAATCTAGCTGGGCTTATTCTGGGCATTTTTTTTGCCATTGGTGCATCTCTCGTGGGCAACTTCCAGGTAAAACGGAGGGATGGATGTGCCAGTTCTGGATGGTGGGTTAGAAGTCTTGGAGGAAGGAGGTGGGAGAAGTGCTCAAATTATAGAGACGCAGGGAGAAAACACCTGTCCATTAATTTTTGTGGGGATCTTTAGCAATGCCTTTTCACATCATGGGGAAGAGGGCATTATTTGGCTAAAATTGGTGGTGGGGACTGAGGCTTGTGGGTTTCATTAAAACCCCCGCTATCTCCCCCCCCCCCCACATAGCTTTCATGCTGAGTGGAGTGTAGGAGGCTGCTCTCTTGAAATTCTTCTTTTGTTTTTCCTTCCTACAGCAATATAACCAGCTGGAAACCCACCTGGTGGGAGCTTTCTTGGCCTTTGTGATAGGCATTGTTTATTTCTGGGTCCAAGCGTTTCTGACCAACCGAGTGAATCCAAGACACGGAGGGCCATGGATGGCACCTCTCCGCTTCTCCCTCAGCTTCTGCAGCGCTGCCTTCTTCATTGGCAGTATCCTGACCATGGCAACTACACAATTGTGCAGGGATGGGAGGAGGAAAAGGGGTTAGAATTCTGCACCAGGATTTAGAGAATTATGTAACAGAGATCAAAGTTTGTTGATGGGTGCAGGATTCTTGAAATCGCAACTATCTTGGTATGAAGCTTATTTAGAAAAGTTGTGGGCCCCATGGATAAGCAATTGTAGTGCAGTGCAGATATGGAAAAAAACACACATTTTAAATCGTTAGGAACTAGCATGAAGCAGTCCTAAATAAATTCAAGTGTCCTTAATGCTCATTACGGAAAGGGTAGGGTAGGATAGGATAGGAGCTGGAAGGGACTTATAAGGCCATCGAGTCCAACCCCCTGCTCTGCTTCTACATCTGGTTGCAGTCCCAAATCTTTCCAGCTTAGCAAAGGTTACTTTACATGCTAGCTCACTGGATAGCTATGCAGGCAGGAGCCTGGGTGGCACTGCCTTTGGGACTTTCCCAAGGCCGGTTTCAGGGCTCAGCATGATGAGGAACTCACCAGGGGCCCTAACCTGGCAGGGGCCACTGGCAAGAGCGTGGTAGCCTTGCTGTTTGCTCATCCACCCTCAGTCCTGAAGGGGTTGGGCAAGCTTCACTGCCACTCTCCTACATGTTTTACCCACGTCAGGAATATAGGAAGAGGCCTTATTCTGAGTCAGCCCATCTAGGCCAGTACTGTCAACACGGACTGGCAACAGCTCTCCAGGGTTTCAGGCAGGAGTTTTCCCACCCCTGCCTGGAGGTGATGGAGTTTAATCCTTGGTCCTTCACACATACTCTGCCACTGAGCTTTCTGCAGCCGCTTCCTTAGGCAGGGACCAGTAGCGATGGCAGAGAAGAGGATGAGGCCTAGCCAAGAGGCCCCTCAGAATTAGAGGCAGCCATGGGCACTTTCCAGCCCATCTGGGATCTATTCTAGAGTTGAGAAATGCTATCTGGTTCCTCTCCTTGACACTTTTACTCCAGCAATTGTGCTTTTTACACTGGGGCTGACGTCTGAGGCAGCCTACTGCGAATGGGCCCTGGCCATGAACCTGTTTGTGCTCTTCGGACTCTTCGCAGTGGATTTCTGGCACGTGGGGGCCTGCTCCATCCATGTGCACCACCGACTGGCAGATCGGGACACTCAAGACATCCAAGCATCAACACAGACTCTGCCGCTCTGATGACACCTTGGAGAGAATTGTGTCCTTGGGCCTATCCACAGAGATGGTTCCCCCAACCCACCTTTCTGAAGAGAAAGGGCCATATCTTGACATGTTCTTTCACTGGCAGGCCAATGGTTCAAGCTTTCTGTTCTGGGGGAAAGAGAATCCAAAACATTGTGGAACTCCTTGCAGACAGCCTAGCAGGATCCTTCTACCACTTTCTGGAAGGCCTTCCCTCTGGTGGTTCCCGGTACCAAGTGAAACAGATTCTGTCCTCAAGCAGAAATCTCCCGAGTGGTCCACTGCCTTCCTTCAGAAAAGGGTCTAGCAACCATCTCCTATGTAAAGTAGTATTTTAAAGTGTGTATTTTATTCTGCAAGCCACTTTCTACTGGTGGCAGCAAAATGGCCTTCCTCTCCCCCTTTCGTTGCCCATGCTGCTGCACGAAACACAGTATAATCAAAGGATACCAGTTACGAATCTTCTTCCATGACACAATCAGCTCTGTCCACCATCCGTTGACGGGAGTGGCCTTTTCCTTTCCACCTCATCAGTGGACCTAGTAATGCTTTGCATTATCGATGGGGGTGAGGGTGGTTATTGCATCCTTCAGTCCCGTTGTCGTCCACGGCTTCACTGATGGGACAAGACACCAGGAGGCACAGATGTCGTCTTCTTCACAGCTTGGGCTGCCACACTGGATCTTGATGCCACAGTTAGTCTGTCTGAGCTATGCAAATTGTTCAGTGCATATTCTTTTGACACTGGTTTAAACAGAAAACCAACACAGTGGTTTTGTCTTCCTACCTCACTCTTTAGACTCTGACAAATGTGAAAATGCTGCTTGTTGGAAGGCTAATGATGTCACTCCATTAAGTTCCTGTACTGCACAATTATATATTCCCAATTACTCTTAGATACCCCCAGCCTGTCTGAGCAGTACTGAGCCAACAACTTTGTGTGTCGTTCCTCTGGTGGAAAAGTAATCCTATGAACTCCCTTGTTTTCCCTCCTTTGTGAGAAAAGGAGCTGAATTATCCCATTAAAGGGGTGAATACTAAACTCCCAGGTCTCTCTTATATGTACATTCTTGGGGGCTGCTTTTTTCCCACAAATGAAGCATCAAGTCCCTCCAATCCTTCCAACTAAACTCATATTTTAACAACCATAGGAACTTTTCACGGTTGATCTCATTTCTTTGGTTGGAGGAAAATGAATAAACAACATCTCATATTGCTATCCTGTCCATGGAAAGCTATATTTTGTTACCCTTGAACTGCAGCCATAGAGTGCAATTGTGATCACTGCCATCACTGATTTAAGTGCAATATTATTACTAGCCTTAGTTAATGTGTTAGTGGGCTGTATGAAAAGTGGGAATACAAATGGCAGTATCGTTCTGCAGCAGCGGTTACAAAATGTACAACCTGCACACACACCCCGGCTCATTCATTGTGACATGCACACTTCTGGGCTCCATCCTCTCACACACTGATCAGTAGCTGCCTTAGTAGGCAGACACACGAATACACAGTTCCCCAGCTCTGTTGGCATGTTTCTTAACGCCCCTACTTGCATATCCATTTACATGCATAGACCCCCAGCTCCTTTTGCTCTGTACATGCACAGAGTACATGGCACTCAGTCTGTGCTGTATGTGGCCTGATACATACCTGGAAACGCTTCCTTGTGGGCCCTTCCTACACACCTTCACATTCTGCTGTCACCCTGGGGCCTTTAGCAGGGAAGGGCAACAAAGCACTTGCCTCACCCTGTGGACCCTCCATCTGGCTGTGTCCAGAGCATTGCCTGAAGAAGCTACAGGGAAATGGCTCTTGAACCCTTACAGTTGCGCATGAATTAGACCCCCCTCTTTCACCCCTGCCTTCCATCCAAGTTCATCCACACCAGTCTGCCCCGTCTTGCCGTATGCAGAGAACAGTCCTTGGTCTCCTTCCTCCACTCTCTCTCACATGCAAGCAGCACCCGTTCATGTGAACCTGCCTCCCACACTTGCCTTCCACGGTCTGCTTTTATATACCTGTTCTTCATGCTGAGAGCCCAGCCCAAATGTTTGCCCTGAGCCAACTCACAAACGCAAGTCCAGTCCCCGTGGTCTCGTGCGCATCCTGCATCCTCGCACCAACACACGGTCCCATTCGTCTCATTTGCACTGAAGACAAACGAGACCCCGCGGGGGGGAGGGTTTAGTCAACTCCAGTACTTCTCTTTAAGCAATGTGTGCGTGCATGTATGTGTATCTCCAGAGAAAGTCCTAGTCTATTATGGGATAGTAGCCTATTGTGCCCATGGGATCCACTACTCACAAAACAGGGCTTTGACACTTCTAAAAATGATCCAGGAAACTAGCAGAAATTTCCAGAACAGCAAGTCAACTAAGCTTGTAGAAGGGGTCTCTGCTGACCTTTCCCATTTTTGCTAGTTTTTGGGGTTATTTTCAGAAACCCCAAAGCCCTGTTGCACAAGTGGCAGATCCCATGAACACAACAGAACCAGCAAAGAGAGAATGCAACCCTGTGGGATACTGCTTCCTGGAATTAATCTGGATTAGCTCCACAAAACCCTTGCAATGAGGCAGCCCTCAGCATCGCCCCTGAAGAAAAGGGGGCAGCTCCCCCCACCCCCGCATCAGCCAATCCCAACCTGCCAGTTGAAAGCAAAAGCAGCACCCCCTGAAGGTCAAATGGAAATGACACTTGGCCGATCCCTGCAGCAAGAGAACGTTTGAGTGATAGTTTGTATATTTTTTGTTCTTTTCTGCGCAATACTTAGACCCCGATATGACAGGATACAGGAGGGGTTGGACAATCAGATGGAGGTGGAGAGGAAGGAGCTGGGCGGGTGTGTGGTGTACGTGTCCAGTAAAGTCGGGTTCACAAAAGGGCGAGAGGATGGACAGACCTGGGGCCAGAAAATGCTGTGACGAGTGGAGGGCCGGGAGGTTACATACAGTTCTCCCCTTTCAAGTGCACGCCCGCATGCGCCATCACCTGCCTCCTGAGCCACCCTCCCAATTAAGAGAAAAGCGTCACCCAGAGCAGGAAGGGGAAGCAGGAGGAATGAAAGAAAGATGAAGGCTTGTTTTTGCAGAGTTCCCCACCACCACCTGCGACACACACTCTTCCAGGTGCAAAGCCAAAACCTGGAATCTCCCCAGATTTGTTGATGTCGGATGTATGACTCTGCCATCCCTCCCAGCCCTGCTCCTCCAGCTTCCCCTCCTGCTGCCACTGATTCCTGCAGGGACCACTGATGGTCCTGCCTCAAGACCTCTTGTGCCTTGGTGTCCAGGCAGGTGTCCACGTCTAAGCCACAAATTTTAGGCCCTGTGTCTCTGCGGCTCCTCTGCTTTTCATCAAGGCCACAGAGCTTCCAAAAACAGTTAAGTGGGGCCTCCCACTTAGTCAAGGACACTCATGCACACACCCCCAACTGCCTTGTGCGTTTGGGTGCCAAACTTTAGGGGAAGAGAGTGGGGACTCAACAGGGGAGATGAGCCAAGGATCTGCTCAAGAGCTCCGACCGGGCTGCTAAAATTACACGAGACAGAGCCAATTAGAAGCTGCACTGTGATATCAACAAGGAAAAGCAACCCTTTGAAATGCTGCAGACTAGATTTTGAAAACAAAGAATACTTAACTTGAGAAAGGCAAAAAAGGAGGGTTGTTCATTAAAATGGCCTTTTTTCTTTTAGAAATGAATTATTTTGATAAAGGTTCCTGCATAAAATAATAGCCTGCTTTTAATACAGACAAGAAAAATCTATTTTAAATCTGATTTGATTTTTGTTATAGTCAGAAGCTATGATATTTCTAACCTTTGCAGACTGAAGTGTGTGGGTGTGTTTTAGCTAACCAATGAAAGCAAAAGGTAATTTGCACAAAACTTCCTATGGGTAGTAGCAACTACACAGAAGCAAACAGTGTGCCCTTTCCTGCCTGCTGATGCTCTGTGAAACCAATCAGGCGCATGCTTGAGATATATGCCATGATGCTGCAAGGTATTTGGGGTTGCTGGGGGAGAAGCCACCCAAGGTCTTCACCCATGGTGTGTTGTTGGGTTGAAACTCTAGCTTGTTTCTCCCTGAGTGATGCATGTTTGAAGCTAAGGTGTGCTTCCTCACAGGACTGCTCCTGATATTACCAGACAAAAGACTTTATGCAGCTGTTGTGTTATTCCTCCTTAGCAGGTATTCTGTGCTAAGAAAACAAAAGTTGAAAGAAAGAGTGGGAAAACATGAACATTGCATTTTGAAGTTGGATCACTTTTATTGTTGGAGCTTTAATGTATTTTTTGGCTTTAGAGGATGAGGCACCATCTGGACCCCCTGTAAAATTCTGTGAACGAGGCAGGGCAAGTGCACAATAAAAACTTCACTGAGAAGTCCATGTTATTGGAATGAAGAGCATCCACACCAACCCAGAATCTGGGATGGGGATGGGAAGGGTAAATATAATCACATTGCACTGTAAGCATTTTGAAGTACCAAAGACTGAGTTTAAGGTTGACTGTTCTTGGGTGTGTACACACAGTTTTGCTTAATAAAAGTGACTTTTAAAAATTGTATGTTAAAACTGGATCCCTTTTACATCCCTTTTATGTAAAGTTTGGTTTTAGATGTATCTTTCATATCTTTCTTTTTTAATAGATTTGGGGTTTTTAACTGAAGGACAGGATATAAATGGAGAAGAAATAAATATATAAATGAATTATCAAATATCAACTCACAATCATAAACGCAACAGAGCTTGGATTTCAATATATGTGAATTTTCATTTTTGGGACTCCTCTTCAAGTTTAGATTAGGATAATTTTTTAAAATACTGGTTTAGGGGAGAATTTTTCCAACTGCTGCTTTAAACAAAGTGTTTATTAGAGTTCCAGTAAATATCTTAAATTTCATCTCCACTGGTGATACTGATGAAAAAAAATTATTTAGCTTCTCAATGAGGAAAATGTAAAAGAAAAAAAGTAGGAGGAGAATGGAAACCTTTTGATTTCTCTCCTACAACAAGGAATCTTCCGACTAGCTCTGTCTCGCAATTTTAGCTAATGCACCCATGATATTGTGAATAAATTGATACCTTTCAGGCCACAGAAGGAAAAGCAGGAGAAAGAGGATGTGCCATGGCAAAGACCAAACTGAAATCAGGACAGAGTCTGTGAAAAGGGCTCAAGTAAATAAAGTCACCTCCTTCCCCCGACAAAGCAATCAGATTAAATCCCCCAAGCCCCACCGGCTCCTGCCCGGTTTCTCCTCCTCCTCCAGTTTGTTTTCTTTTTTCAGTCCACCATCTTTTTCTTTGCTTTTGTCTCCATTTTATGTTCTTTCCCCTCTCCCTTTCGGTTCTTTTGTGGATTTGTTTTGTTTTCTGTTTTCTGTTAACTATTTACAAGTTCACAGTATGGGCCGCTCCCAAGATGGCGACTTTCCACCCTGGCGTGAGATGGGGCTGTTACATTTGAACCAAACTCTGCCCCTTTGCATCTCCGGTGGGGCCTTTTACCCATCCGTATGGTTCATTGGCTCCTTTCTGTCCATCCGGGGCGGCTCTTGCTATTTCCAGGGGGGTAGAGTTGACTCCCTCCAGCTGCTTTCTCCCCTGCCCTCCCCTGTGCTAGCCCCCTGCCCCATACGTCATGGCTGCTGTGGGGACGGGGGTGGTGGTTGCTGGACTTGAGTCCCATTAGATGAGACGAGCTTCTTGTCCTTGGAGCCACGTCGATGGTGTTCAGATGACACGTCGGATTCAGAGCGCCGAGATGTTTGGCAGCTGCGAGTTGGGGTGCCTGGCAAGCGGGGCTGCTGCCCGTTCTTCTCATCTGGAACAAAATGGAAGGTTAGTTGATTTCCACGTCTATGCCTTTGGCACCATGCAGAGTATAATGCTCCTCTTCTGCTTTCTGTCTCAACAACAGCATCCCATGATACTCAATCCTAACTGGATTCTAACCATGCAAACTGATTTTGGAGGTACACTGAGTTGGATCCTGGAGGTTCCGTGTGGCCAAAATGAGCAATAGCTGTTGATAGACTTTCCTAATCCTCTCTTTAAAGCCCCCTAAGCCATAAGAATCATTCAGTCCTGTAGCAGCATAGTCCCAAAATTAATTATTCATTGTGAAGAAGCATTTTCCTGTATCTTGGGCATTAATGCCCATCCCTGGTATTTCTCTCTCTATCCACCATGCATCATTTTATAACACCATAAGGTCCCGTCAACAACAACACCTTAGCTTCCTTCTTGAAAAACAAAAATGGCAGAAAATGCTCCAGCCTTTCAGCGCAAGGATGGTGCCCCATCCACCACTGTATTCTGGGAAAAAGTCTTTGCAAGGCTCCAATTAAATTTAACTGACATTGCAATAGGAAGCCTTAGATTAGGTCCAATTATTTGTCCATCGATCCCAGTATTGTCTAGCTTGGCTGCCAGTGGATTTCCAGGATATCAGATGGAGGTCTTCCCCATCATTTGTACCTGATCCTTTTAAGTAGAAATCCCAAGAATCAACCCTCTGTGTGCAAAGCACAGGCTTTACTGTGGAGCTACTGTGGCAGTCTCATGCGCACACATGCATACACACTCACACATGGGTAGATGCAGGCTGGTCAGCTGACTCTCTGGACTGGCAACAAGGAAGCCGGCCTTGGTATCTGCCATGATGCTAGCCTCTTCCTGCTCTGTCCCCTCAGCCCCTTTTTCTATGCCACCTGCTGCTGGCATATCTCTATTCTCACATGCAGCTGGGACACAGGAGTGCCATGGAGCTTCGGCATTGCCAGCCACTCAGACATGGACAGGGGCTTGGCGGATCAGGGTCTGCTAGCAGATCCCTGGGTAGCTTTGTGGTAGATCAGCAAGGGGCTTTGGCTCCCTCCTGTTTAACAAAAGCCGGAGCAGTTTGTCTCTTCCCACCCAAGCAAGGCTACTGAAATGAACAGAGCTTGTGATGGATCTTTGTGCAGCTTCAGTTCAGTTCAGTTCTATGATGCAGACCCAATTCCCAGGCTCAGAATGCATCCTGGGGTGCCCCGCTCTTTAAATCTAAGGGCATGTGTTGTGCACCTGGCTCTGGTTGGTGGATCTTGGGGTTTTTTGGAAAAACAAGCAAGCAACAGAGATGCAACGAGCCTGAAGCATGCCCACTGCATTAGCACAGTAGTACTGAACAGGTGCTGAAGAGAAGTGGAGGGAAAGTCTGCTCACTTGAGTGCCTTTTGTGAAAACAGGCAGAGATGACATCCAGCAAACCGTTTGTGCTGAGTGCAAGGTTGTAGTAAAAAGGAACGCCTACCTGCAAGGGCTTGCACCGAAGGCTGGTCGTGTGTGCTGAGCAGTTGCGCCTGAATTGTTTCCACAACCCGCTTAAACCGGCGGCTGGGACCTGCAGAAGCAGACATGAGCACACAGATCAGAGGGGATTGGCTCTCTGGGGACAGACCTCAGAAAACAGGCTCCAGGAGAAAAATGCAGCTGGGATCACAACAGCAGGAAGAGGCGTGGTCATCGGTGCTGTATAAAAGAGAGCTGCAGATCTCAAAACCAGACTCAGACTGTGTTGTGTGTGTGTATCTACCTGTCTACACACACACACACACACACACACACACACAGAGAGAGAGAGAGAGAGAGAGAGAGAGAGAGATCCCTCAGGATTGTGAAGTCCCATTCATATCTATGGACTCTAAGTAGGGTTAAACATTAGGCCCAACCTTATGCCACAGACAATTGGCTGAGGAAAGAAATTGGATACCCAGGCCAGAGGCTAAGGTCTTTTTACAGGTGATGGGTTGATGGGTACATTGCCTCTGCAGAGCATTGGCCCTAGGGAGGCCTTCCACAACCTGGTACCCTCCAGATGTTGTGGGCTACAACCCCTAGCATTCCTGACCTTTAGGCATGCTGGCTGGAGCTGATGGGAGCATCCCAGAACACCTGGAGGGCACCAGGTTGGGGAAGGCTATCCAAGGGACATAGTTCTTATAAAAGTAAAATGTCATCTTACCTGCAAAGAAACTGGCATCCCCTCATCCATTGTGAATTGCTCTGCACTGCAAACCTAAGCAGTTTCAAGACCAGTCCAAGGTTGTATTTAAGTGCCAGACTGGTCTTCTGCAGTGGTCAGGAAATCTATGCTCGTGAAGCAACTGATTAGGGGCAGACAGATGGAATGCCTCCTCCCCAACCCCGCGTGCAGCGACCAAGCAGGCCGTTAAAGAAGTGCACTGCTCCATGCCAGGCACAGAAAGGCAGCTCTCCAGTCTTCCTCTGCCAGCCCTCAGCAAGCTAGAAGATTGTGCGGGCTTATTTACACATGTATTGCAGTCGAATGAACCAGTTCACACAACACGGACAGAACAACATGGGCTATGGGGAACTGCAGTACTTGCTGCCAAATGTACAGGCATTGTGTTGAATACGCAGCCCCAGTCCGAGACTGAACTGTGTTGCATGAACCCAGCCATCGTGGGTTGTACGAGGTTTAAACAGGGCTTCTGGTGGATGCCACAGTATTGACTCCTGAAGTGTAGTCGACAGACTGCTGGATTGGGATCCAGGAGATCCAGGTTCTAGTCCTCACAAAACTTTGGGCCAATCACTGGCTCTCAGCCTAATGTACCTCACAGGGCTGTTCTGAAGAAAAGACTGAGAAGAGGAGGATTACATAAGCTGCCTTGAGTTCCTTAAAGGAAAAAAGATGGGAAGTAAATACTGTAAATGAAATGAAACCTCTAAAAGCCTTTTCTTCTCCCCAGAAAACTCTATGAACTATAGGCTCATGAGCGGCACGGCATCTCTCTACCACCAACAATGCTAGGAACTCTGATTTTCATCCTAAGGAGAGTCGCCCAGCGCTCATAAATGTCAGCCTCTTTTGGTAAGCCCTGCAGATTTGTGGCCATCCCCAACCGTGCTCTCAGTACGTCACACAAATGCAAACAATCTCCAGAGGGTGCAGCATGAACTGGCTCTTCTCTCTGTGAGAGTCCGAGGTTTCCCCTGCACTGTAAGGATTCCAAAGGGAGCCCACCTGAGATGAGGGTGAAGGTAACCGAGTAGATCCCGCTGTCCTTGTGTGCCTCCCCACCCTCGGAGTAGCTGATGTCCACTTGGAACTTGACAGGTTTCTGGAAGACGGAAGGGCCGCCTGACGACTTGTATTCGGCCCGGAAGCTTGTTTGGGATACGACACTGTGGCTCAGGCTGGGGATCTGCAGAGGCGATGGAAGTCAAGGCGTGAGGACCTGCTGCCCGGCCCTTGCAATGCATCCCCTTGCAGTGTCCCCCCGCTCAGAGCTGCCATGCACTTAGGCAGAACGAAGCAAGTGCCTCTGGGGGTGGATGCTGGGAGGTGGCGGCACGGCACTGGAGGAGACGCCCGCACAGCCTGGTCTGGAGCCTCCAGGCCAGGGGGCTGCCTTCAGAGGCTCTGAGGGCCGCTGCCCCATCATCAGCCAGGACAGCTGGGAGGAACTGCCATCTTGTTCTTAGTCTCAGGCTGCAAAAGATCTTAAATTGGCACGGAGGTGTGTTCAGTACGCAGCCTTTCCAGTCCTGTAGTCTGCAGGCTGACAGAGGAATCGCTCTCCTCTCTGCTGCTACCCGTGCGGAAGAAAGCTCCGTGTTAGGATTGTTCTGAGGGTGAGCTGGACCGCAGCGCATTAAGATGCCCACAGAGATGAACTTCAGGCCGCACAGGAATGAGCTTTGCATCCCTATGTTAGTTCCACCGTTATTCCAACCTGGCTGTTCTCAGCAACCGGTGGGCCTCATCCTACCAACCAGCATCCCCCCCAAACCTCCCATCCACACACTCCTCTCCCCTCTTGCTTTTCCTTTGGTGCTCAGCACTTACCGAGAGAAAGGCATGTACAATATCAGCCTTGATGGAGCTCAGGGGTTTGTCTCTGATGACCACAAAAATTTGTTCCTCTTTGTCTAGGTTGATAAAATTCCCAAACCAGGATTTCTTGGCTAGCCTGGAAGGGGAGTTGGGGAAAAGCAGAAAACACCGGTTGTGGGTCACTTGCAAAGAAACATGGACGAATGGAGTGCGAAGAGGGTCACTTGTGGACAGTGATGCCACAGGTACTGTCCAAGAGGAGCCTGTGGTGCTTGTGCAACCACGTTGCACAGTCACCACACACCCTTGGGCTGCGTGCACACCTGCATTAAGCAGTCAGAGAGGAACACATTCGGATGCCACATACTGACAAATAAAATAATCAAATCATCAACCAGGTGGTGACGGAAAGGGATCAAATTCTCCTCTCCTCCCAACCATCACCATCTTCTGATACTCACTCAGGGGATGACTCTGGAGTAAGACTGGACATTTCCTCTGGTGTGGGAACTGCAGGGCAGAGGGGAAGCATAAAATGTAAAGCAGGAACAAGCGTGAGCCCCGTCCCACCCACTCCAGCCCTGCCGTCAGCTCCCAGATGCCAAGGACAAAAGCAGCGCATGGCGAGGACATTTCCACCCTTCCTTGAGGAAGGGCTTGTGCCTTGCACGCAAAAGGTCCCAGGCAGGGATGCTTCTAGGCAATTAAAAGATTCGGTCACACAAATCCACATACAATTTGCATAGGCTTGTTTACATCTCTGTATGAACATGGAGAAATCATTGCTTGGATTTAAATTTCACAGAATGCAAGCAATGAACGTGTCAACCAAATTGCCTCACACAAAGTAAGTTCTTCTAGTAGTTTGGACCGTGTCCCAGATCATCAGAAATCAGCAGTGCCTCTTCAGTGACCATTTGTTTACAATTTCTCTCCCTGCTCTCTTCTTTCTTCTTTCCAGGAGGAAAACTGCTCCCATTACAAGCAATTCCGCTTAGAAGGGGACTGGCACACTCCCTCCCCATTCTCTCCTCCCAAGCTGAATTGCCATGCAGCCGGGAGGGCTTGGGGTGGTTCTGGTATTCCTTGTGGGGAACGCAGCGGGAGGGGGAACTTCCTCACCCTCCCCGCATGATAATTAAGGTGAGAAGGAAACCTTCCATTGGCATCACCAACATTCAGGGCTCTAGAAAATAGATTCAGGACCCCAAGTGCAGCCTCCTTTACAGTTCCTATCCTTTGCCTCTCCAGCTTGGGCTGGAGAAGACTCTGAAAAGGTCCTGAGAAAGCAGTTGCTGAGCTCAGTGAAAGGCGGCTTTCTCTTGATCATCCTTAATTTCTGGACAGTTTCTCTCTTTCAAAGTCTTCCTCCCTCACAGCTTTTGCACACTCTCCTCTGACAAGCACACATAAGCCAGCCTTCCCCAACCCCACTGTTTTGGATTACGACTCCCAACATTCCTGACTATGGCTATGCTGGCTGGGGCTGATGGGCACTGAATTCCACAGGATCTAGAGAGCCCCAGGTTGAGGAAGGCGGCTGCAGAGGTTCATTTATTTGTGGCATTTGATGACACATATCTGAGATGGGAAACCTCCGATCTGCCAGCCAAATTCGGCCTTCTGGGGGCTCCCATACAGCCCTCCAGGAGACGCCCCAATGCCTCTTCTAAAGCTTGGTGAATGGCCCTCCTTGCTGGAATTTCCGGTGTTTTGGCCCTGCCCAAAGTGCAGGCAACCCCAGAAAGCTTCACTAAAATGGAATTTGGCCCTGAAGCTGAAAGAGGTTCCCCAACTCTGTTTCACATGTTCAGTCAACAGGACACGCCATAGCCACGCAGACAACGAACTTACAGTCACGCTCGCACACAGACGTCCACACAACCCCCCTGCCCCAGTGGCGGCGAGCACTCACCTTGCAGTTTCCGGCGGTGAAAGCGAGGGGAGCCAAGGAAGCTGTTCTTAATGGAGTTGAGGCGGGTTTTCCAGGCAACACCGGCCACACCAGGACTGCTCGGCGGCGTCCCACCGGGAGTGCCGCTGGGGCTCTCTTTGGGCGTGTGCACTGGGGTGCCGAGCGGAGTGGGGAGGGGGCTTCCCCGAGGGGAGGGGTGGGGAGTGACCTGCAGCACAGATTTGGGTGGGGGTTTAGTAGAGGGGAAAAAGCAACGGGGAGAGGAGGGAGGGTGAGGGGGCGGAGAGTTGGGGGGCAGGGGGAAAGGGGCGGAGCACCGGCTCTGCAGGGCCCGGTCGCCTGCCGGGCTGCCCTTGGCCGGCAGCGTCTGAGTCTTCGCAGGGGGAGTGGGAGGTGACGGGAGAGAGAAGCTGAAGATGGGGCTCTGGGTGTGAGGAAAAGTGGGGCGGAGAAAGGTGAGGGGGGAGAGCCGTGAGATGGGCGTGAGAAATGGCAGGTGACAGTCCCACAGTCTGCTCCCAGAGGGGCTTGCTCCATGGCCCAGACCGCCAGTCTCTACTACTGTAAGGGGGTCCGTTTTCACGAGATCAGTCTGTCCTACGGAAAGCCTGCCCCACACTCCTTGGCGCGAATACGGTACCCCAAGACTTGTCCAGCTAGTCTCTGTGGCAACAACTCTGACGCGTGCTGCTCCAGAAGGAAAGTAATCCACTGTCTCTACACAACTGGGATCCGCCTTTACTGGCAGACCACGTCCACATCCTCAGCATCCCTGCCTGAGCCTGGCAGGTGGCAGGCCAAGCCCCCCACTGCCCTTCTGAAATGGCCGTCCTCTCCGACAGGACGACGACTCTCAGCTCCAAAGCTCAAGGCGGCCTTCCCTAACCAGGCGCCCTCCAGACCTCATGAACCACTACCAGTGGGAGTTACTGTAATCCGTATTGCAATATGTCTGGAGGGGGCCAGGGCTGGGGAAGACTACAAAACCTTCTCCTCACAGAGCCTTTTCCACATTCCTATAGGACAGTGATGGCGAACCTTTTAGAGACCGAGTGCCCAAACTGCAACCCGTACACACTTATTTATCCTAAAGTGCCAACACTGCAATAAAACCTGAATACTGAGGTTTTACTTTAGAAAAAAAGACCTCACAACCAGTCCAAGCAAATATATATATATCTTGGCAGCACACTGACCGGCCATGCGAAAGCGTGGATATCATCGCCTGGCCCTGCTACTCCTTTCCGAGCAAGCGCATGGCCCCTATGTGCGCCATTATCCAATGCTCGGCTGCTGCGACGATGCTAAGACGACTTCGCTTGCATGCCGACAGGGAGGGCTCTGCATGCCCACTGTGGCACGCGTGCCAAAGGTTCGCGACCACTGGCCTAACCCTACCCTGGTGCACTAACCTAACCCTAATATAGGGGTAGAATACCATTGAAAATAATGCGATTTTGAAAAAGCCTTCCTTGAGTAGATTATTCTGCACATCTCAACATTTTTGTCCATTCTAAACACTTTCCAACCATCAAAATCATGCCACAACACCTCATTTTTGTAACCCTAACCCTGCCCTGGTGCACACCCCTAACCCTAATACAGGGCTAAAGTTCCATTAAAGGTTGGGCGATTTTGAAAAAGCCTTCCTTGAGTAGCTTTTTCTGCACAGCTCAACATTTCTGCCCATTCTAAACACATTCCAACCATCAAATTCATGCCAGGAAACCTCCTTTTTCTAACCCTAACCCAGTGATGGTGAACCTTTTAGAGACTGAGTGCCCAAACTGCAATCCAAAACCCACTTATTTACTTAAAGTGCCAACACTGCAATAAAACCTGAAAACTGCCAGTCCAAGCATATATATATATATATATATATATATATATATATATCATTGGCAGCGCACTGACTGGCTTTGTGAAAGCTCGGACCAGTCGCGGCTAATGTGTCGCGGCTTGTGATGTCATCGCCTGGCACCACTACTCCTCTCCAATCATGGCCCCCATGTGAGCTGTTATCTGATGCTCGGCTTGTGGGGCGATGCTGGGGCGACTTTGCTTGTGTGCCGACAGAGCGGGCTCTGCGTGCCCACTGTGGCATGCGTGCCATAGGTTCACCCCCACTGATATAGGACAATCTATAGAACCTCTGGCACCTTGGGAAACTATTTGAGAAACGACCATGGGTGTCACTACAAAATGCCTGCCACCAGAAACACGACTTATCTCAAAGGTCTCTAACACCCCGCCATCCTCAGCCCAGCTTACCAGAAGAGATCCCAACTACAGATAAGAAGAAGTTTTAATTTCAGAAATGGGGAGAAGCAGGGCAGCCCAGTGGGTGCTAAGAGAGGTGTCCAGGTTTGTATTGGCACATTCCCTACCTCTGCTATAAGGGAAAAAACTCTAAGGAGCCGTGCAAGGAAAGGCAGCCTCTCTCAGAGAGTTCTCCTCTCCCTGCTTCGCCCTGCTTCTGTATGCCTTTAATAGCTGCTCAGCAAATTTTGCCAGCACCAGCAGCATCCTGCTGGCTAAAGTCGCGCCAGCCGAGCTTCTGCCTTCTGAGCGGTGCTTAGCGGCGGAGCGATTCCACCGCCACAGTGCCACTCTCCCTCCCGCCACAACAAGCTGCTATTTCCAGGGCCCTGTGCTGGGCCACACTAGACATGACCTTAAGCCCATGAGGGACCCTTATTTTGGGGCTAAGGGGCAGATGCTGGAATCCTTGCCAGGATCATGGAATGGAAAGGAGATGGGAATTAACCATTTGTCTAATCACAGCTTTTGGCTCTTTGTCTTCCCTTCAACTGCTTCAGACCATAAGGTTGTATCTGAGGTTACTCCTACTTATGGCAGTGGGACTTGAATTAATCACGACTAACATATGCCCATTGATGTCAATAGGTTTGCTCTACCATGGTATAGCGGAGTCAGGCCTTGCCAACATGTTTTTAATGAGCACAGATACTGATGTAATCTACTACCACGCTCTGAATTTCCTGTTCCTTTTTAGTTTACCTGCAATCCTTATAATATTGAGCCAGTGTGGTGTAGTGGTTAAGAGCATGGGACTGGGACTCAGACGATCTGGGTTCTAGTCCCCGCTCAGCCATGGAGCCAACTGGGTGACTTTGGGCCAGTCACAGACTCTCAGCCCAACCTACCTCACAGAGTTGTTGTTGTGGGGATAAGATGGAGGAGGAGATGTAAGCTGCCTTGAGCACTTTGCAGGAAAAAGGCAGGATATAAATCGAAAGATAAATAAATAAATATTTGGGAGGGTGTCGTTGTAGAATGAATTTTCCCAGGAACAACCTAATGTTCTCTAATGTCATGCAAAGTACTGGGAGGGTGCTTGGCCTTGAATGGACAATGAGACCCATTCGTTTCACCAAAGACTTGCTCCCGATGATGGAAGTTGCTAGAAGTGGTTTGTTGGCAGGGTCTGCCTGCGGTTTCTGCTCCCCTTGGGGACGTGGCTATGGGAACTGTCACGGTGAGCATCTGCGCTTCCTAATTTTCCACTATGCCATCACTAACACCAGATACAAGCCATAGTCTCCTCTCTTGTCTCCAATTAGCAACTCTAAATATGGTCTTGTCCACAACCTCAAGACACCCAAACTCAGATGCCTTTCCTGACAAAGCCTGGAGCCCTCATCTCTGCTCTTCCATCATCATCCACTCAGAAGTCTCTTTGCTTTTCCTTGCCAAAGGGCCACGCATGGCCCTCTACTCTCTTTTCTGGCTGAGAGGCATCACCACTTTCCCCCCTGAAGAGGTTAGGTCACTTGGGAAGCTGTGCGTCAGGCAGCAATGCAACGAGTCTGGCTCTCCCTCAACCACGGAAATGCAAAGATGGGGGCGGAGGTGGGAAGTGAGCTGCACTGGGTCATACTTCTGCCTGTCACTCATGCAGTTGTGAACAGCATGCCTCTCCCCCCCCCCGCCCCGACACACACAGCATCGTTGGGCAGGAAAGCCACCAGTGATCTTCTCGGCGCCTCCCCCTCACCGCTTGAATGGAGTGCAAGATGGGATGTGAATGAGACTGCTGGGTCTGGAAGTCTGTTCCCCAACCCCTTCAAAACCCATCCAATCCTCCCCCAGGCTTCCCCAGCTAGCTGCCCCCTAGACTGTGCCCCCACACCTGCTTTGGCCCCATCACCACCCAGCTGTTCTCCCACCCCACAATCTCTCTCATATTGCATGTACTCACCCTAGGGCTGCTGAGGGGACTAGAAGATAAGCCAGTGGAGGCGCCACTCACAGATCGAGACCTATTTTTGTGGAAGGAAGACAGACCAGTTGAACGTGTTGGCTAGGAGCTGAGATACACCAGATGCAGTTCTCTGAACCAGCAACGGAGGGCAGCCATGCCCTGCACACCGGTGCAGTTCCCAGCACAACCAGCAGAGGCAGCAGACATTAAACAAGCACATGCGATTCCCAAAATGGAAAAATAAGACAGGATTTTTTTTTAAAAAATGGACACTCCCACTAAAATAGGCAGAAAGAAAGCATTAAAACATCCATAGGCAGTACAACTAGCCAGAGGTAGGCTATGAAACCCAAAACACTTGCTGTTTTCCGCAGCACCCACAGGGAACTGCAAAGTTTTGTGCATCTATTCTGAGCACTATGAACATGTGTGTAATTCTTGGGACAGCCACTGGAGGGTGACAGAATGCTGACATTTGCAGTTCCCGGTCCAACAGCAGGGGAACATGCTAGAAAGGCATCAGTGACCCCTACTGTCCATCTGCGGAAGCGTCCCTCTTCTGCTAAACCCACACAGCAAAGGCTCTCACCTCTGGCTATGCTGTGCCATCTCTATGGCCCGTCGGGCCGGGACGGGGGAACCACCATCAGTAACACTCAGAACTTCCATGGACTTCCGCTCAGGCCGGCGCTTTCCATGTCGGTTCAGCATGGGTGAGTCAACTCGCTTCCGAGGGGGATCTGAAAGGAAGAACATGGGAGCATTTAAATAGTCTAAGGACACTTCCTCCACACACCCCTTTTACACGCACAGTGTGCACACAGACAAAACACAGACCTGCAGTTCTCGAAATCATCAACAGAGGGCATCAATGCACTGCACACATAGGCCAGTCCAGCACAAACAAGTACCACTTACCGCATAGACAAGAAACCAGTAACCCTCCAGCTGTCATGGAATACAAATCCCATCACCCCCCAGACAGCATGGGTAACGGTCCCGAATGTCGGGAGATGGTCAATTTTTCCTACCTCTGACTCACTATGCACCTCAGTGAGGAATGTGTTCAAGGTAGGGCGCCTTCACTGTCAGGCTGTGGGGCACAGGGGTGGGCAGAAGGTCACGCTCCAGATGTTTTCGACTTCAACTCCCAGAAACCCCTGTCAACATGGCCAATGGCCAGGAATGCTGAGAACGGAAGTCCCAAACATCTGGAAATTGACTTTCTGCTCACCTCTACAGTAAGGAGACGTTGTCTGCAACTGTATTTGTGTGCCATTATTTTGATCTTCCTGCTTCCCCTATCAAATCCCCAAATGAAATATAGAGGAAGAACACACTTGGCAACTGAGCAGAGCAGCTCTGCCTGAGATGGTAAGGGAAGGCGGGGACGGCTTTGCCAGTGAGGGCCTTCTGAAAACATATTTTGGATTCTTCCACAAAACCATGTTCCTGGTCTCTCTCTGGGATTCCTGGGTACAAGAAAACACCACCCCTCCTGCTCATGAGGTCATTTAGGAAAGGGTTCCCTGACAGCATCTCACCAACATCATTGCGTGGAGGCAAGTCCTCGTCTTCGCAGCTTGGGTATCTCTCCTTCCGGTCAAGTAGAAGGTAGTAAATCATTTTCTCCTGGTTTTCCCTGAAGTGCAGGTGGGGACAGATTGGGAAAACAGGGTCAGCATGACAGCTCTCTTCACTGCCCTGCAAGGGTGTGGATGGAGGCAGTAGGTTCTTATTCCTCCCCAACCCAACTCTATGCGCCACAGGACAGTGTCTGTGGGTACCTCCAATGGCACCATGAATGGATCCCCTGGGAAGGTTTGCCCATTTTTTCCGGATTTTTTAAATATACATTTTGTATGGAACACGTATGAGCAGCCACACAAGCACTTCAGCAATAATGGACCAAATACCCATTAGAGGAGAGGAGCGTTTTTCCTTCCAATTTTATAATATACATTTCTTAGCTGTCAAAAGGACACAAAGAACCCACTTCCACTCCCGTTTGTTAATTTCCATGGAACAGGTAAATAATTTCAAAGAGAACATACATCAATGACTATTAAAGACTGTCACAGTACAAAATCTATTCCTGTAATAACCATCCTGCCACAAAAGAAGTAACTGCCAGATAGTGCTCAAAGATGTTTAAGGAAGCATTAGCTGCACTGCACCGCCAGCAATTGACTAAATTAGATGGTCTCTATAGAAAGAGATGTTGCAGTGTGCAGTAGACATGGGGGAAAACTTTGCTAAGTTCCATGGATGCAACAGGTCAATACCAAAGCTGTGATCGATCGACTGGGTGTGCTGTGGTGATGCCCACAGCAACTTCTCAAATTCCCACATGGGCTGATAGGACCGAAAGATGGGGACCCTTGCTTTACTCTGTGAGATAAATGTATTTCACCCTCTATGTGTGTGGGGGGAATCTCAGTAGTGAGAGAGAAGCATTCTGTAGGTCTCTGACTTGAAATTGCACCGAGACTTTTCCTGCAATGTATGTTTCATGTATCTATTATCCTGTACTGATTTTATATTTTTCTATCACGTGTTACCTAATTTTAATGTAACCCACTTAGAAATCTAAGGATATCAAGCAGCATACAAGTTGCTTAAACAAAACAAATGAAATGTGCTCCTATGTGTTGCTTATTCAGCTCATACTTTTGCTTACAGTTGTGAAATAAACACCTTCCAGTAAAAACCACGTCCCCTTTGTGGCGCAGGCCCCTGTCCCGGAGATGTTCGGTACCTAGCCAAGCCCCAGGAGCTAGCATACTGCATCCCCGTAGTGCAATGTGCAAAACACAAGCAGACCCTCTTGTCCCTCCCAAGCCTCTCACCCCTCGTTCTGCAGCTCCTGCTTCAGCTTGTTCTTGTCGCGGAAGCAGCCCAGGGAGTGCATGCTCTCCAGCACATCCGGATCCAGCTCGCTGACAGACTGGATCCGCCGGATTGCCACCTTCCGAGGAATTGGCTGTTCCGGTTCTGGCTCATTCTTACCTCCCCTGACAGGAAAAAGAGCACAAACTGGGTGAAAGGTGAGTAGTTGGGGTAGTAGATGACAGAATGGAGCCTCTAATATTTTATTTAAAAGCCTTAGGACAGTGATGGCGAACCTTTTAGAGACTGAGTGCCCAAACTGCAACCCAAAACCCACTTATTTAGTTTAGAAAGAACTCCTCACAGCCAGTCCAAGCAAATATATATATATATCCTTGGAAGCACACTGGCCATGTGAAAGCTTGGACGAGTCACGGCTAATGAGTCGCGGCTCGTGACGTCATCGCCTGGTGTTGCTACTCCTTTCCGAGCATGCGCATGGCCCCTATGTGCACTGTTATCCGATGCTCGGCTGCTGGGGCGATGCTGGCATGACTTGGCTTGCATGCTGACAGAGAAAGCTCTGTGTGTCCCCTGTGCCACAGGGCACATCGGTTCGCCACCACTGGCCTAACCCTACCTTGGTGCACTCCCCTAACCCTAATATAGGGGTAGAATACTATTGAAAGGGGCGATTTTGAAGAAGCCTTCCTTGAGTAGCTTTTTCTGCACATCTCAACATTTCTGCCCATTCTGAACACCTTCCAACGATCAAAGCCATGCCAGGACGCCTCGTTTTTGTAACCCTAACCCTACACTGGTGCACACCCCTAACCCTAATATAGGGGTAAAATGCCATTGAAAATAATGCGATTTTGAAAAAGCCTTCCTTGAGTAGCTTTTTCTGCTCTGCTCAACATTTCTGCCCATTCTAAACACATTCCAACCATCAAATTCATGCCAAGACACCTCGTTTTTCTAGCCTAAACCCAATGATGGTGGACCTTTTAGAGACTGAGTGCCCAAACTGCAACCCGAAACCCATTTATGTATCGCAAAGTGCCAACACTGCAATAAAACCTGAAAACAGCCAGTCCAAGCAAATATATATATATCCTTGGCAGCACACTGAGCAGCCACGCGAAAGCTCGGACAAGTCGTGGCTAATGTGTTGCAACTTGTGACATCATCGCCTGGCACCACTACTCCTTTCTGAGCATGCGCATGGCCCCTCTGTGCGCTGTTATCTGATGCTCGGCTGCTGGGGCGATGCGGCACCTTGGCTTGCGTGCCGACAGAGAAGGCTCTGCATGACCGCTGTGGCACGCGTGCCATAGGTTTGCCCCCACTGCCTTAGGGTGTTTGGGGGAAGAAATACCACAAATCTGCAGGTTGTTTGTTGGTATGATTAAAAATGGGCTTTTTCTCTGTACAAAGATCCAAAGCAGCCAACAGCAACTCAAGACGAACCAGAAGTGGGCAACCTGTTTTCCTTTGAAGGACTTGTGCCTGTGTCGGGAATCCGCCGTGAGCAGGGCCACAGCCTGTAATGAACAGGCCCAAACCTAGCTGGGTCACCCTGTCTCACTTTTTGCCATCCTTTTCTCTCCCCTCTTCCCTTCTACCCAGTGGGCTTCCAGAAAGTGGGGGGAACATCTTGCCAAAGGTCTGAAATGATCATCCGTAGAAGGACTTTGAGATGAATCCGAGAGCTGCAGGTTGCCCAGCTTGGTGAAGATTTTGATATCCTCTTCCCTGTTTATCAAAGTGTGGTTTTTGTCACATCTTTTAGCCCAAATGAGGTTCATATGCAAGTACTGTTCAGGGATTTTATTTTATGTCAATACTTTAGCAGACGTTACTAATAAGCATGCTTATGGTCACACTAAAAAATCACCCATTTGCATTACGAGCACTTTAAAGTGTCTCGATCTTATGGAGACAGCTAAATTTGGACAAAGATTTCTTAAGTAGGAAGTTCTGTGTGCCTTTGAACACCACTTGCTGGGGAACTAGGATGGGGGAAGATTTTGTACTCAGGTCCTGTTCCCTGTGGGCAGCTGCTTGGTTGCTGTTTGAACAGAATGATAGGCTGCGTGGACCCAATCCAGCAAGGCTGGTCTTACATTCTTGTATTAACGGAATGGATACTTCCAGAGGAAAGCTCTCAGTGCTATGGAAGACTCTGGAACATTTGTGTTCTGCATGCCCCCTAAATACAGTTTCCTGCCCCCTCCCTGCTCTGAAGGCAGAAAATATTGGGCGCATGGTCAAGTGGAGGAAAGGAAGGGGAGGCTGGATCAGGTGGGAATCAAAAGGAGGATCAAGAGATACTCACAAGAACCACGGGTGCTTCTGAATCTGTTCCAGCTAAAGCCGCCACATGGAAAAGGGAAACAACATCAGGCTCCATCTCTCCATAAACCATCCGTCCAACAGTCGCATGCCCCCACCCAGCATCCCCATCATTACCGCAATCTTTATAATAAAAAGTTGCTTTACTGGTAAAGCGCATTTCTCTTCACATACTCAATAAGGTATAAGGAACCCAGACTAAACGTCGACTAAAATTGATTTGCTTTCAAACCGGAAGGAAAGGAAAAGGAGACTATGATGTAGGGAATTTTTCTGGGATTCCTTAAGAATCGGCCTGTCACTTCACCAGCCACCAACAGAAAGGAAAAACAGAAAAGGGAGGAACATGATGATCACTGTTGCCCAAAGTAGGAAGCATCCAGAGATTCACAGGATGGCTTTTCTGGGGTGGACACCATGTACAAGTGGTGCTGGGCGAAGTCTCAGCCAAAGCAGGAACAGGAGCCCTTTCCCTTCCATTCCTCCTCTTTCTCTCTGAGTTCCCTGCATTCATCTGTCCTCCACTCACTCGGTCACTCATTCTCCTCCCTACCTTCTACCTCCCTCATGCCCACAGCCGCTCAAAGAAGCACACAAGCATGAATTTTTTAAAAGATTTACATTTAAATTTAAAATTAAGATAAAAGCATGGAATAAATAATGGGTAGAAATTACAAGAATTATAAGAATAAAAACAAGGGTATATTTTAAAAGAACTGAAAAAAGAACTAAAACAATATTTTTAAAAAACAAGCATGAAATGAACGGTCCTGGCTACTGAAGGTGCCTTTCAATTCCAAACAGCAGGTACCTAATGCTGCAAATTAGAAGTTCTTGTGCAACTATTCCATCTTTCCTTCCTTAATAATTTTTCCCAAAAGGCAGAAGAACCTGTGGGAAAATGCAGGAGGGCTCCTTGTAAAAGATGACGACTTCTGGACATGCCCTCTTTTCTATCCACGAGGCAGGGCAATGTTGCTAGAAAAGCAGCCTCATTCTCTCTTCACTCCTTCCTTCCTTCATGCATTCTTTCTCTCCCCCCCCCCCCCCCCCCGCCCCACACACACACTGATCAAACACCACTGCAGGAGTGTGTGCTTTGTGGGTCTCTCCCAGCCAGCTGAGCACACATAAAAGGCAGGCAAAGATCATGCATGGAATGAATGATCCCGGCACGACGCTCTGTGTTCGGGTCACTCCCTCCTGCCTGGGCACTTTCCCACTTGCTCTTCTGTCTCTCGTGGAGAGAGCAGAAAGGCAATCAGGGGACGGCACAGAACTGGAGGCTGAGGGCAGCAGGCCTCGTTTGGGCCTACCTGTGTTCTAGACCCGCTCCAGATGCTTTGGACTTCAGCTTCCAGAATTCCTGAACAATGGCCATGCCGGCAGGGGCTTCTGGGAATGGAAGACCAAAACAGCTGGCCATCTATCTTCTGCCCACCTCATCCTAGAAAAATGACTGGCATAACTGGAACTGCTGGGTTTGGAGCCCACTTGGTTCTGAATACCAGTAGAAATTGCAGGCTAGTTTCTGAGTTTCCCAGTAGCCTTGTGGAAAACCCTTGTTTTCATACCAAGAATCACTACCTGAGGTCACTCTCGCTCCCTCTTACACAAAGCAGAAATGTGATGGCACAGAGAAGGCAAGAAAAATAGGGGGAAATCTTTCCCCACTCCAGGGATTATCCTTATTTTTTCGCTCCAGTTTTCCCCCAAACTGGAGCAAAACTCTCCCCCAGTTTTCATGTGTCTAACAGACAGTATTACACACCACTGACAGTTCTCCTTTAACCAGTTATAACAATTTCTGCAAGATTCGGCCCAATGCTGGGTTCTGAAGCAGGAACTCTGCCTGTCTGAATAGATGATTGTGGTGTGTGTGTTTGTGTGTTGTATTCACATTCAGTTGGATCCTCCTTTGTTACACTTGGGTCCATTGAAAACTATCTGAAAGGCTAGTGAAGATTAAACTTTAAATAAAGAAGTAAATAAATAAATCCCCCCACATAGATGTGCAACTTTCTCTGTGCTGCGGCAGGACAGGTAGAAATTATAAGGACAAACGGTCCATCACCTTGTGATGCTCCCTGCCCACAGGCCAAAGGGGCACAGCTCAGGCTTGGCTCAAGGAGAACCAGGCCAAAGGCACTAGAGCAGCAGAGGCAGGGGGTCTGGAGTAGCTCAGAGCTCCCCCTTGCCAATCATGCCCCTGCTGCTTTTGCAACTACAGGATGACTCACACTGAGACGCTTCTCAGGCTCCACCTCAATCATGCCTCTCAGGAGGTTTTGGCAGTCCGGAGGGATGAAGTGGGGCATGTGGAAAATCCCCCGTTTCACTTTTTCCAACAGCTGCCGTAGGTTGTCATCGTCGAAGGGTAGCGCTCCCTGTCAGACAAACCGTGAGAGAAGATGGGCAAAACTTAAGGCTCACATGACTTCAATATCCAAAACTGAAGTGTTGAACTGCAGAAATGCTGTCTTTAAATGTAAGTACATGAACTGGACTGAAGAGAGACCCTTTCCCTGTTTACTCTCATTTCCAGTCTTCCTCTCCTTCTTCTGCTGCCCCTCCCCTACTGACACATTTACAACTGTAAGTTCCTCAGGGCAGACCCCACTTGTTACTTTCTAAAGCAGCATGCATATGGTTGAGGATACTAGCAGCAGGAGCAGCAGGAGCAGCAGCAACTTCCTGTGTAGCATATTTGTGGCTACCTGGGGGCGGGGGCAGTATTTATTTCAATACGCTTCTGTCCTGCCCTTCTAATGCTTACACATCCCAGAGGGCTGCTTGCTATGTATAAAATCACAGTATCACAATGACACAACACTATGAAGTCAAATGCATGGGAGGCAAACCCAGCAGATTAAAAACCAGCTCTTCGGATAAAAGTGTTCCCTGTCCAGCAAGGCTAAAGCCTACCAGAGATCATAAAAGTGTGCGCTAGTCGCAGAAGGTAAGCCAAAAGAGGGAACCAGCCAGTTGCCACATGGCAAGCTGGTCCTGAATTTGGGTGCTGCATCTGAGCTTCCTTCCTCAGAAAGAGCCGAAATGTTCAGGGTCCGGCCTTGCCTGCTGGGCAAAGGCAGCCCAAGACTTTGGGAACTGGATGCCATTGATCCTCCTTCCTTGCCACATAGAGTGACCCACTTTACCAAGGACATTCCTCTATTTGAAGGTGTCCTCTATTTGCATGGCTGCCCAGGTCAAGTCCATTTTAAAGTCAGAAAAGCTCAAAGAAGTTGCCTATCAAGAGTCAGCACCTGGACGGCCAGTGGAGCAGCCGTGTGGGTCACCTCATCAGCCTTCCTCACTAGGGTAAGAGTCATTGCATTACTATGTATGTTATACTATATATATATATATATATATATGCATGCATGCATGCATGCATGCATGCATAAATATCAGCACATGCAAGCTGGAGACTTCTTTGGTTTTCTTTTTGGTTGATGCATGGTCACCCATGCAGTAGGATGGCCGCTGACACACTGCCAAAAAAGGAGAAAATGCATCACCCAATTCGAGCCTGGAGCCTGGTCAAGACTGGGGAGTGTCCTTACCACCAGCAGGGCGAAGAGGATAACTCCACAGCTCCACATGTCGGCACGACGTCCATCGTACTTCTCCCCCTAAGGAGCAAAAAGCAGAGAGGTTGCGGGGGTTGGTAACTGGCATGGGCAGGGATGGGGCAGAGAGAGGTTTGGGGAGAGTGGCAGACAATAAGAAATTAAGAGTGGAGGGAGGGTGGCTCGCCCAAGTGATAATCGCTGCCAGGAGGGGCCGTATTTCTATGGGAAGGTTCTCCTGTCCCCTCCTCAACCTGCACCCACTTGGAACAGGAAGAAAAAGAGAGGAGATCTTCCGGTGCATAGGAGAACGTTTACGAAGCCCTAACAATTTGTTATGCTCCTGAATTTTGCTTCTACTGGGGATCCCCAGTTTTTTTTGCCTTGGCATTTTGAAAGTGTGTCTTGGGTGCTCTCAAAAAAATGGCTGCTGTCTCAGGGGAGACTGCCCATTCCGTGGCAGGCATGGCCAGTCATAAAAGACATTTCCCAAAAACCAAGCAGTTGATATTAAAAGAAAAGACACTGCCCAAGAACTAAAGTACAAGGCAGAGGTGGAATTTGAGCTTCAAAACACAAAACCACTTTTAGGAGCCCACGTAAGATGCTGCTGGATGGAAGCATTTGCTTTGCAGCATACCAGCTTCACAGTTAAAACACATTTTCATTTTTTAAAAGCTTATCATTACATGCTATATTTATGTCTACATAAATTAAGGACTTGTTCCAAAATAACATATTGGACTTAATAACATTTTCCAGTACACCTGGAGGCTTCTCCCCATTTTCTTCCCGAGATTGATGTGTTCCCATTTATTTTTACCACCCATGAAGAAAACACTTGCCTGGCAGGCTGAACTGTCTCCCAATTCCAATCTAGGGCTATCAACAAAATACCGTAACAGCCCCCATCCCCCAGGACTGAGTGTAGTGAAATTTTTCTCCCCAGATACAGGCAGGCACAAAATCTTCTCCAACCTGGCTCCAACCTCCGGTATGTTGGACTACTATCCTCACCATCCCGCCATGGTTGATGCTGGCTGGGAGATGATGGGAGCTGTAATTCAACACATATGGAAGACATCAGGTTGTGGAAGGCAACCCATGTTGCACAGCTTGGGCCAGGAATTCATAAAGGGTATGAAGGATGGGAGACAACAAGCTATCCGGTCCCACAAACAATCCTTCTTCTCCCCACATCTACAGTTTTCATACCGTTAAAAAAAATCTTAGTAGCTAAGTCATATGAAGCTTACTCAGTTAGGTTTTTATCCATTAAACCTAGCTAAATGTGCATTCAAAAAGAGGAAAACGATAGTTCTAAAAAAAAAAAAAAAAGGACTGAGTTGGATCCAGGTTTCGTCATTACAGTAGACCTGCTGATAAGCATGGCTAATGCAAATCCCATTGATTTCAGTGGGTCTACTCTAAGCATGACTAAGCATGGATCCAACTGGCTGTTTTTAAAGGATACATGACAATGCTGCTCCCAGCTCAGCCCTAGACAGGAATTCTCTTTTCTTGCTACCTGTCGTATGTCTGTGTATCTGAAGTAAAAACAATAGGCCTACAAGCTTATACATGACCTTTTCCCAACATGGTGTCTTCCGCATGTGTTGGACTACAATTCCCAGCATGTACCAGCTAGCATGGGGAAGGCTGCTCTACACACTAACCTGGGAGTAAGGCTCACTGAATTGAGTGTGATTTATGTCTCACCTATCTAGGCTGACATATGTGGTAAGGCTGGAATCCGCTTACTTAGAGGAATGCAGTGAGACTTACACTGTTGTCCTATGTCTGGGAGAAGTAAGTTAGCTGCCCTTAGGTCCCACTGAAATCTGTTGGGTTTAAGTTAGTCATGAATAACTTTCACATGGATTTCCAGGAGGACTTAAATCCAACCATTTTAGTTTGGGTTCAACCCTCTGTTGCTATTTTAATCTACTGAAGGATTAATGGCTAACTTTTCAGTGGACCAATATACCTTGTTTGGTTCTTTCCACCAGGTAATCAATGAGTGCTCCAAATTATACACGTCTACCCAAAAGTAAGTCCCATTAAGTTCAGTGCGGTCTACTCCGGGTTAAGAAAGTATCGGATTGCAGCCATCGCCAGCCCTGCTATGAGGCGCAGGCAGCTGTGGCCAAATGTTGGTGGACAGAGCTGCATCTGCCCTGCGGCCTGCCCTTTACCCCCTAAGCTAGCCTGCTGAGCAGCACAGGATGCTGCTCCGCCACCAGTGTTGAAACAGGATTAAACTGCCAGTCCAGGTGGCTTCAGGAGGTGGAGTGGGAGAAGGATCCTTCTTGTCATCTGCGTCAGGCTGCAAAATGTCCTGGCCTGACTGAAGCCCAAGTACTGCAGCTGTATGCGGGACTGTATAAATCTGCAACGTTTCGCCTGCATCCGTGTGTCACCATTTCTGGACCCATCCCCTCCCGCCACCCTTTCCCCAAGTTCCTCCTGGCATTGTCTTTTTCATTCAGCCAACTAATTCTTCAAACACAACTAGCCCAATTTAATGGGCACGAGGGTGAAGCCCAAGGCCAGGCTTGAGGGGACCTGTTGGCTGGATCTGGGGGGCGACAAGGGAAGGGGAGGAGAGACCAGCAGGGTGAGGGGAGGGCACTAGGCCGGAATCCTTACCTTGATCACCTCAGGACATGCATAGTGAGGAGAACTGCAGCCCAGCATTGGGGGCAGAAAAGAGAAAGACAGAGACACAGAGGAAGAGTGAAACGCCGGAGAAAGCCGATCCACGGGGCCACGGGTTCAACAAGCATGTGATGCAGGGCCTCGAGGACACCCCCTCCCTCCACAATCTGGAATGAGTTCTGGGAGGAAAGTGCTTTTCAGCCTTGGCCCTCAAGGGTTCAGTTCATGTCAGCTGAGCAGGACGATTCCTACCCCAGCAACACTTTGAGATGAGACAGCGGAACCTGCTCCACTTCCCTCAGCACCCTCAGATTATACTAGCAAAAGCACTTCGAAGTATCCTCTCTACATTTAGAAAAGGTTTGGATGGGATAGTTACACTGGGCTGGCTTGCACAACCCCTGACATGCGCCAGGGCTCATTTAAGTCATGGGTAATTATGCCTTGTGCAGGCAGCCATTTTGAATAGTCAGCCCCAGCGGGGGATTCCCATGGCTTGTTGTGTCCTCCAAACACAAGCCATGTGATAGCTAAACAACCCTGAAATTACCCCAACACAACCCCTGCTGCCCTGGTTCAGACAACAGAACAAGCCAAGGCAGGGTTTAGTTTAGTTAGCCCGTTGCTGGTCATGGCTAATAAGGCAGCCCTAGTGGGCTGCAGGGATCATGCAAACCAGGTCCCAGCCTTCCCATCAAACCTGGGTTCAAACAAGCTTGCAATAATCGGAAAGCAACATAATGCTAAAAACATAATGAAAAATAAACACAAATGGAAATTAAAGGACAGCAGCAATAAACAGCCTTTTTTAAAGCCATCCATGGCTGAAACCTGGCAAAGAGTTTTTGTCAATCAGTTATTCACTGATGTCTAAAAAGCACCCAAGTAGGTGCCAGGCAAATATGCTTGAAGTGCTGGGACCTAAACGGCCCTGCCCAAGACCTGCTGGGGGTGAAGAGGGGTGGGCTCCAGACAAGAGCTTTGGAATGCAAAAACGAAGTCCATGGAGGAGAAGGCAGTGCTTGCTAGAGCAGCTTTTCCTAGTTGGATGCTCACCAGATGTGTTTCACTGCAATGCCCACTATAAATTAGAAATGATGAACATTGGAGGCCAATGCATCTCAAGAGCATCAAACTGGAGGAGGCTGGACTAGGTAGTTTCCTTATCCCACAGGGCATCTCTCCATCCCACCCTGTTCAAGTTGCTTCCTCAGCAATTGCCCATCAGGTGACCCTGTTGGTTACCACATTGTTACTAGGCCATCTTCAAGTGCTTCCTTCTCCTTCTGGGATAAAAATATTCCTGGGACATAAATGTTCCTCTTCAGAAACTTAAGAGCTGGCAAATGAATCCCATACCTTCAAAATGCAGGAGCCTGGAGGCTGAACTAAATGTGAAGCTATTCACCCAATTGGTAATTTGCATTTAAAAATATTAAAAACTAGGTTGCAGCTCTGTGAAAGGAGGCAATCTGGACTGGGCCCTTGGCAAGAACACAGGAGAGCATCAGCCCTTCTGCCCTCACCACAGCCCGAATCCAAGTCGGCTTTCTCCTACTTTTTTTCCTGGGGGGTGGGCAGACATGATTGCCAATTAGCAGCCATGGAGGCGCAAACTTGATTGGGGGTATGCAGGGACAAAGGGAGGTAGCCTCCTCCCCACCAGGCCAAAGCCCTGCGCTACCCCATGGCTGCTATATAACTTTTTTTAAAAATCACAGAATGATGCATTGTGGGAATAATGTCACATCTAGTTATACCCCTGGGAAGAGAGGAGTAGTGAATGTGGGAACGTTCACAAGAAATGAGGCCAGGTTTGCCCTTTCGCCAAGAGCTATTGCAGATATTAATAGCGGAGGGCTCTTTCCCCGGCTGGGTTTGGGGACCACAGAATGGGGCAAGGAGCACAGATCCACACTGGCACTGGTGACTTCCCCCCTGTTCCCTGAGCAGGGGGACAAACAGGAGGGCTGAACCTCTTCCAGCCTGAGGGTCAAATTCCCTCTCAGAGGAGCTTTCAGGAGGGAGCATTCAGGTGGAAAGCAGGGCCAAAGACAAAGTGGGGTGGAACCGAATTGGCCAAAACTCCGAGCACCTTTCAGCTTAACGTTCTTACTGTCCATAGCTAAGCCTTTGGGGAGGCATTTCGGTCTTCTAGAAGGATGGGGAGAATGCTGCAAAAGCCTAGAGACGACTGAACGACTGGTGATCAGGGGAAAGGAGACAGGAGCATGGACAACTGGGATTCCTGGGAGGGCCGGATTAGGATCCCAGGGGAACTGAATCTGACTTCAGGCCTGAGGTTCTACACCCAGGGCGGAACAGCACAGAATAGGGACGAATGGGAGAGAGCGAAGGGAAAGGCCGATGGCTGCCACGGCTGATAGAGCACGGCATATCTCCTTCATCAGGTGGGAACCTTGTGTCACCCTTTTTATAGGGCTGGCAAATTCCCCGTAAATCCACCCCTCTGCTGCAGACATGGGAGTAATCACATCTCAGGTAGGAGATATTTCTGATCAGGAACATCCCAAAGGATACCACCATGCCTGAAGGGGAGTCACCTCTCTCTAGAAATGCGGATCAGCTCCCCTGAGTTTCCAGTCCTGTATCTCCCCGCTCCCCCCACCGTACAATGTCCGCCGGCGCAGACCGCGGGGCGTCTGCAGCCATGTGCGAATCCCCTGGCTCACCCCCTTTCCACTGCTGCATGCCACCCTTCTCGCTGGCCCCTGCACAGAGGTTGGCTCACCCACAGCTTGTTTCTAGCAGGCTATCTCCGACCTGCAGGGAGGCCATGCCAAAATCTGCAATCCGAATGTTGTTCTTCTCGTCCAGCAATAAATTCTCCGGCTTCAAGTCCCGGTGGCTGAGGAGGTCAAAGAAAATATAGGGAAACAGGTCAGAGGGAGAGAAGGCACACACCTAACCGTGGGACCCCGCTCCAGAATCTCTTGCAAACAGTAAGTGAATAGAGTTATTCCGAGTTGTTTTCTCTACCCTTTGAATGCTGCTGAAGTAAAGAACTATTTTTAATGTGTTCTGCACATGCTGAACCTGACAGTGGCAGGGAATCCTCTGGAGTTCAGAGAACTGAAGCAAACTTCTTGAAAAAGGAACAAGTTTCTAGTTTTCAGCATCATGGACATGGGTCTTGGCCATAGAATGAGAAGCTGCTATCCCCGGTTTGCTATCCCAAGAAAACAACCTAAATTTACAAGAAGCCCGGAGTATTTCAGGCAACCCCTGATGTTGAGTCAAGTCAGACACAGGTCACTGTGTCTCCCTAAGGTGAGCACATGAGCTCAGCTCTGCCTTTCTAGCAGATCTAAACAGAAAGCCTTTGAAATGCAGTCCTTTATTTGAGCTGGACAGGGTTTTTTGTAGTACATGGTGCTTCAGAAGAAAACTTGTTCTCAAGTAACATCCATCAAAGTAGCATTCCCTCAATTTTAGGGGAGCAGCTCTTGTCCATGTGAAGGCCTCATTCCAAACAGAAGACCTGCTGCTCCCAGCCTTTCCCAAAAGGCTTGGCTCCATGCTCAGGAAGGTTTGTGCTGCTTGTGGGCCAGATGGGAACTCCAGTCACTGGGCCTTCCATTTGGCTTTTTAACAAACCGTTGGGCTAATAAAGTCACACCTCTCCTCCTCAGACTCTGTTCTACATTGTCTCGGCAAGGGGCAGCATAGAAATGTTCTAATAATAATAATAATAATAATAATAATAATAATAATAATAATAACCCAGAGCAGTTTAGTTCTCAGTTGCTGCCTGACAAATCCCACTCATGAACCTTGAATTTCTGCATCACATTCCAGGCCCTTTCCTTTTCCATCTCGTTCACAATTCATGGCTGAGCAGCCTAACTAGAAATGCTATACTTTGAAAGAAGCAGACCACATTTCTACATGTGAAATCACCCTGGCTTTCTTATCCCCCACCGTCCAGGAGTGACAAGAGCTCCTACAGTTGCCGAAGGGTGCAGACTTAGCTCACTTCCAACTCTCTGCTTCTGCTTCCTCATCAATGAACTTGGGAAGCAGATCTGCTATTTTGATTGATTGTATTAGCTAAATTAATTGATGGAAACAATCTCTATATTTATATAGCCAATAAATAATTCCATCATTTAATTGATGGAAATGATCTCTCTTCTGATTGGCTCTATAATAGCCATCATCACACGTATTTATTTCATCCTCTTCCTAAGTATTCCTAAGCCACTTTTCTAAGCTCTGCCTTCACAAAGTGTTGTTCATCAAAATAAATGATGATTTCAGATGCAACAGAAACCCAGGCACATTGCACTACTAACAGAAGCTCCTCTGGCTAAGGGTTCAATCCTATGGCCACTAGTCACTGTCTAGATGGCCAAAGTAAAGACAGGAGTTCCACCTCCAACCTTGGAAATGTGATCCAACGTCAAAGCTGGAACTCTGACCTCAGGGCACCCTTCCTCTGCCCCCAGAGCTGCCGCAGTTCTTTCCAAGCCAGCTGCAGCTCCAAGAGGAGAAGCCTGACCTCAGAGCCAGCGCTGGGCTCCTTCACCTCCTGGCTTCTTCTCTCCTCCACAGGATGCTCATAACCCTGGTAGTTTGGAGCGCTATGAGCATCCCTGCTGGACTTCAGCCCTTAACAAGCTTAGTGTCGTGCCTAACAACTCAGAGGAGTCGTTAGCACGTGTGAGAGAACAAGAAGCTCCCAGCGAGAGTCAGGTCTTAGAGCAAGAAGATTTCTACTTGGTGCCCATTGCACAAACACCCCCCTGCCCCGCCCCCCCACCGCCTGACTTTGACAAAGTTTTTCTCCCACCAGAACAAGCCAACATTCTTCATGGAGGTAACATTGCTGGGCAACCAGTGGGACAGCCCATTGCCATGGAGAATACAATACAAAGCAAAAAATAACCCCCGATTGCAAAATATAAGACAGTGGTAGGAAAATAAACCATAAGAAAATTAATTACCCCTTTGTAGTGCAGTGTTACCATTAGCTGGGGAGGAACTTACCATATTGAATAGCTGTGGCAGAAATCCAACGCGGAAACAATTTGCCGGAAAAACTTCCTGGCTTCCTTGGGCGTGAGACGTCCCTTCTTCACCAGGTAGTCAAAGAGTTCTCCTCCTGAGACATGTTCCAAGACCAGGTATCTAGTGCACAAGCAGGCCAGAGACAGCCAGACCAAGAAGCAGGCAAAAGCAGGAAAGAGGGATTGAGAATCTGTCAGAGCACCCATGAGAACAACAGTCCCCCTCTGAATTAATGCTGAACAGGAGACATTGTAAAGCCAGATGTGGGGAAACTAGACTAAACACTGTGCTAAAGAGAGAGGAGAGATCAAAGATTAAGCATTCCAAATATTTCTAGGTCACTTTAGATAGGCTGTGGTTGAATTAACAATTTTTATGCACTGGGTAGACATCAAACCAAGACTGAGAAGACGCAAACCAAAATTCCCTCATGAGAAGCTCTTCTTTGTAATCAAAATTGTGTCTTTTCTGACAGTGGCACATTCCAGAGGGAGAATGTGGAATGGGGCCTAACCTGGGGTAGCATTAGGTACAAAAAATCTGGGGCCAGAAAGAAAAAAAAGCAAAAATTTATGTATGCTCTCAAATCTCTGTGTAAGTGACTTGACACCGTCTCCTAAGGATCCCCTTGTCCATATGAAGAGATGCATGAAGATGGGGACATTTGATTTCGGGCTGACAGGGGAAATCAGGCAGAAAGATTCAAAGGATGGCAGCAGCGGGGGGAAAGCACTTGTGGGCAAAAAGCTAGTTAATCCAGGTGGATCAGATGCTGCAAAGGTCAGTAAAGCTCCTCTACCTATACTTCAGCACATGCCCCTGAACAGCAGGGTAGTAGCACAGAGGGCTTCCCAGCGATTCCAAACTGCAAATGAAAAATGTGGGACAGCAGCCCTAATAGGTCATCCCGTTAACACCACCCATGGGCCTAACTTTCCAGCTAGTGCACACATTATTATGACATTACATCTATACCCTGCCTTTTTTCCTCTTGCAAAGAACTCAGAGAGGTCTACAAAGTTCTCCTCCTCTCCATTTTACTCTCACAACAATAACCCTGTGAGGTAGATTGGACTGCGAGTCAGTAACTGGTCGAAGGCCACCCTGCGAACTTCATGGTGAAGCGGGGACTAGAACCCTGATCCAGAGTTCCAGCCCAATGCTTTCAGTCACTACAATTCAATCTCACACATGGCCATTTACGCTTAAAGGGCTGCAAGCTATTCTAAGCATAAAAGTGCTTTCTATGTGCCTGAAGTGTCATTGTCTGAAGTGATCCTTAGCTCCTTGGGAGGGCAGGACAATTGTAAGAGCACTGTAATTCCCACTGTGTTCAGCGGGCTCCATGCCCAAGTAAGTACATACAGATTGCGCTGTTAAGCATACTTGCTAGAGTATTCAACCCCATTCAACTCAGTGGAACTGACTACTAAGTAAACCCATTTACAGTAGAGCTGCACCTCTCCCTCTCTCCACTCCCTTAAAGACATTACATGTCTTTCAACGCCCCTCAAATCTCATTCACAGTTGTGAGCAGGCCCCGAAAAAGCATGTGATGCTGCCCATATTTATCCTTCCTTAGTCTAGTCTTTCCCAGTCAAGTTGCCAATATTTTGTGGTGAGAGACTCCAGCCAGGACTCCCCTGCACAGAGCACCCTGAAGACTGGTGAGGACATTCCAGAGCTGTGGGGACGAGTCCCATCTGCTGCTTTGGCTTGCAAGCTGTGGCTTCTCCCGGGCAGGAACCGCTTGACCACAATGCTACAGGGACTGGCAGCCTCAAGACTGGATTGCTCCAATAATCCTTATGGCTGGAACTAGCGAGAGATGCAGCAACTCTGCTGTTGTCCAGGGCATTCTCTTTTCAGCATGCAGTTCTCTTGCAGAAGGAGCTGTACTGGGTACCTATTCCGTACTGCAACTGGTCTAGAGTTTTAGTACTAGTGTACAAAGCCCCAAACAACTTGGGACCAGGGTACCTGAAAGAGTCCCTTTTCCCTTACCCTCCTGCCAAGTCACTGAGGTAATTGAGGACATTTTCTAGGAGGTTCCACATGGACCCACGGCCCAATTAGAGTCTACCAGGAGAAGAGACTTCAGCGTGGTGGCCCCATTTCTATGAAATTCCCTGCCTCAGGAGGTCAAGCAAGCACCAACACTGCAAAAGATATGCTTGTTCCAGAAAGCCTTTCTTGCTAACCAGTCATGGTCTTAATGCTATTGTCTTGTTTTTAATAGTTTTTTAAATTCGTTTTTCTTAATTTTGTACTGTTCACTGCTGCAGAATCTGCCTGGATTCACTGCAAATAACATATAATGTAAATGGCTGGGGAGGCTAAGGATTGTGGTGGTGGGGAATTAAATTAAAATTAATACAAAATGTCAATTAATTTGTTTATTGTAGTTTTACTTGATTTCTTTCTATAATAAGTGTTAAATTTTTGTTTCTAATTTCTCTTTTACTGCTGTGGGATACTCTGAGTGCCACTTTTTTGGAAAAAGAGGATATACAAAGAGGGTATATTTGTATATCTATATAAGCACAAATAAAGGTAGTCTGGTTTCATTAACATACACTCTGGTAATATTTAAAATTGAAGACTGTTCAAAACCTGCAGCTTGTGCAAAATGCAACAGCCAGACTAAAAACTGAGACAAATAGATCTGAACATACAAGACCAGTTCTGGTCTGCTTGCGCCGGCTGCCTGGGTGCTTCCAAGCCCAATTCAAGGTGCTGGTTTTAACCAATAAGGGCATTCTCAGTTTAGGACCACAATGCTGGAAGGATCACCTTTCCAAATACAATCCGCCAGTACTACGGTCACCATCTGAGGTGTCCTCCAAGCACCAGCTCCATGGGAGGCTGGGAGGGCAGTGACAAGGGGGAAGGGCTTCCCAGTGGCAGCCCCCCAAGTATAGAATGATCGCCCCACTGAGGTCCACCTGGCACCAACATTGTCATCCTTGTGGCACCAGGTTAAGGGAGACTTCTATCCTGCAGCATTTAAAGACATAAAGGGATATGGAAGGGCTTGAGGGGACCGCTCTTACAGGTCTTCCCAGTGTCACAGGTGGTTTTAGCAGTCTTTAATTTGTATTTATACGTTTTGCATTTTGGAAAACCTTTATGGCACTTTAATGTATTGTTTGCTTTATTTATTTAAAACTTTTGTATACCGTCCACTACCAAATAATCTCGGGACAGTCTTACAATAAAACAAAACTGCTGCGAACGGCTCAGAGACGGTCAGCTATTGGGCGGCATAGAAATGAAATAAATAATAAGGCATCATAGCACAGAGATTCTAAAGCAGCCTCTTTGCCCCACATCTTTGTCTCTTCCCCACACCTTCCTCGCATTGTGTCAGCGGAGGGGGATGACAAAGACGCTTATGTGTGAAGACTGCCAGTTGCCTGGCACCGCCTGGTATTCGGGATGGCCCTCCCTGCTCGCTCACTGCCTCTCCCACAGACACACACGCACACATGTTCACAGAGGCCCTGCCGCTCTGGCAACGTTCACACACAGAGAAACACCGAGATCCTCCACCTAGGAAACCAGCTCTGTGAGCCAGGAATTTCAGAAGCAGATGGGATCGCCAACCCTCTTTTTTAAAACGATTATGCTGGTTCTGGCCCTCTGCTGCGCAGCAGCAGCTTGACACGCAAAACACCAGCTTTTCTTTTACTGTCACTGGATCTCCACGAAGCAAGGTTTCAGCTTCTGATTTTTTGTTCTCTCCCCCTCTCAAGCTCACAGTAAAAGCACAATCCAAGTCACAAGAAAAGCTTGATTTGGGCATGAAGAGAATGGGACAAGGAGCACTTGAATTTAGGGGAAGGAGCTGATGAGATAAGCATAGAAAAAGAGAGTGCCCAACTCTGAATAGAACTGCAGTGTCCACAGTCTTCCCCTGAAGGAAGCTTATAGGTTGCAAAACAGTTATTTTTGCAGACATATTTATTCCCCAGGGGATTTGGACGTTAGTGAGAGCCAGTGTGGTGTGGCGGTTCCAGTGCTGGACCGGAAACCCAGGAGTTCTGGTCCCCCCGCAGCCACTCACTGGGTAACTTTGGGACAGTCATGCACTCTCAGCCTAACCCTCCTCACAGGGTTGTTGTGTGAAGATAAAAATGGAGGGAGAAGAACCTTGTAAACTGCCTGGGATTCCTTACAAGGGGGAAAAGGGTGGGATATAAATGCAATGTAATAGTTATGAGAGAGCAGCAATTTGTCCTCAACTACAGAGGACAGTCCTCTGTCTGAATGGCTGCCTGGTCCAAGTCTGGTTTAAGGATGACCCTAAGAAAGCTTTGCAGAGGCCTTGAGGTTGCCCACCAACAGTTGGCACCTGCACAACAGACTGAAGAGGCAGGCACCCAATTCAGCTGGGCACAGTCTTCCCCACTGTGGTGGAATGAAGCTTTAAAAAATAATAATACTTATTTCTAAATGTGCATTTATAAATCTAGAAGACCACATGCACATTTCAATTCAGTCTGTGTCCATTTTTGCCCCCCCCACCCTTTTGATGATGCCTTTGTGGCCACCCTATGCTAGGTTGTGAAGGCAGAAAGGGACAATTTTTGTATCACAAGTAGACAATTGGTTGTGCCTTCATGTTCCTTTAATCTGTAATTATTACTGTGTTGAATACAGTTTATACTGATCTGGGGTCCTTTGGATTGTATCAGTTATTAATTTCTGTAGTTGTGAGCATAAGCTACTTAGCGATTGCTTTTTGCAGCAGTAAGTGAAGTATAAATGTAAAGGAAAGATGGGAAAATGTCTCATAAGGACCTATGAAGAGCCATGCTGGATCAGAGCAATCTTATCTAACCTTCTGTACACACAGTGGCCCACCAGCTGCCTCAGTGGGAAACCCGCAAGCCGCACAGGGCCTCAATGGCGCCCTCTGGCTTGTTTTCCCCATCAAGTGGCACTGAGAAGCTGAGCGCCTCTCAGTATCTCTAGGAGGACAGAGCTGTGTGGACGAACTCCGTAACCACACACACCCTCTGCTCTTACTAATCGCCTTGGGATCTTGGTCTGAATTTAGGCAGCAATACACACGGCCTGGCTGGCATTCTAAGTAGGCCCGTAGCCAGGCATTTAGCAGTGAGGGGACCTGAGGGGATGCGGAATGGCTGCAGAAAAGGCAGAACAGGCCACCTAATACGCTTCAAGTTACTTAACTGCATTGCTTCTTGATCTCAAACTACACATTATAGTAATTATTTAGAATATATCCTGTCTCTGGCTTAACAAAAAACAACTATGGGGAAGGAAGGGCTGATTCAAACTGAGACTGTAGTATGGGGAGGAGGGGTTAACGCTTTGCCTGTTTTCATAGCAAAATCCACCCAGCACTCCAAACAGCACCAAGCTGGTATTTATCTCCAAAGATGTAATGAGTTAACACTACAGAGGAATTAAAACACTATTCACTGCTCCATGGCCCTGGTCCAGATCAATACATCCCTTCATTAAGAAAGAAGCACAGAAGATCCTAATCACATCTTTTTATTTTGTATGGTTAATTTGGTGCATAGGGTGCCATACCAGAGCAACTGGGGTCAGTTGTACCCCCCCTACTTAGATAAGCTAGAAAATCCTGATTCCCAGCTTTCATTCAAAAAGAAGAAAAGCTAACCTACAGTCCTTGTAGTTCTCAAGATCTCTATTCTACACAACTGTTTTGTTACAAACTACCCTGCTTGCACCATACAATGTGTTTAGCAAATGAATAAAGTACCACAGTCACTGTCTGGAGAAGAAATTTATCTGGTTCATTTTTCAGCCATTTTGGGCTGGGAGAGCCTTCCTTGATAGAGAAGTCTCCATTGCCTCATAGAAAACAATTCAGAAATCCAGGGATTTAGAGCAGCTGTGATTGGAAGGTACTGCACAGAAACAAAATGTGAGCAGCAAGCAAAAAGTATTAATCATTCTAATTCAGGTCCTATTTAATATGAAAAATGCAGGCATTTGTTCACAACTTCCTAATCTTTTTAAAATCCCAGCAGATGCCAATGTACATATGGCTCATCATTGTTTTATCTATATTGCAGGGGAAAGGAAAGAACACATCTTTCTGAGATTGTATGGGATATGCCAGCACTTCAGTGTAGCCCAGTTTGCTGAGAGGAAGAGGTAAGGAAATAGAAATGGTATGCCTGACAACCCTGCAGTGTAGTACAGTGTTGTTATCCAGTCATCAGGCATGTTGGAGGTATTTTTAGGAAATGTGCAGAGAGGGCTATGGAATTGCTTGAAACAACTATGCAATTGATACAGGACCGGAATAGCTGAAGGAAACCAATAAAAGAATAGATGGTTTCAACCACAGGAATGATGCCATCCAGGCACCAAATCCATCCAGAAAGATATACCCAAGGACGCCAACTACTATTGAAAAGGCACTGCATAATTATTCCATTCTTTTCTCCTTGCATTATTTGCAGAAAGCGAAGAAGAAGAAGAAGAAGAAGAAGAAGAAGAAGAAGAAGAAGAAACTGCAGGATGGTCAAAAGTGGTCAGTGTTTTCACCTGGACACCCTAAAATTCACTGAATAAATTTGCAGAGCAATTGCACAAAATCTCATCTGGAAGCACTCCTAATATACAAGTTACTCAGATGGGCTACTTATTTTCAAGGGCCTAGTGCCCAGGTTTCCCTGCAGCTTAGTCACTAGATCCACATGTAATGATAAACTTGGTTTCTGTCACAAGATATAGATTCTGTATCACCTAAAAAAGTTCCTGTGGAAGCTGAGGATTCCTTCTGCACATCTCTACTTAAATCTTCAAAGGTAAAAGGACTTATTGGCCAGGTTCAGGCAACATAACAAGCTATGGTGGTGGTTTTTTTTAATCTTTGTTGCTCTGTTGTGCTGTCTGAAACCAGTCATGGGATTTCACCATGTTAAGTTTGATCTTTAGAAACCATTATAAGAAGCAACACTTTGTTCTATGGTTTCTCCATACGTGGTTTGTCATGTTGACTGTAGTCAAGATTGTGGTTTCCATGGTCCTGGTATGCAACTACCACAGAGTTTCCTGGAAAAGATGGCCATTGTAGGAGCTGCTCCAACCATGCAGGCTCCATTGTCCTTCCCTACTGCATAACGGATGTACAGACCAAAAAGGAGAAGACAAGCAACACAGAATGGGAGCTATGTAGCTTGGGATTAAATTTCAAGCATGGTACATACCGACCACAGGAGGGTTGAGTGGGGAGAAAGGAAGTCACAGTAATATAGAAACAACTTGATTGTATTCTGGGTGGATCATGGTAGAAAAATGCAAACCATGGGTAAAGAAATTAGGAGGGTAGGTACTCGGAGGAGGGCTTTCTCTGCGGTGGCGCCCAATCTACGGAATGCGCTCCCCAGAGAGGTCCGCCTGGCGCCGTCGTTATTTGTTTTTCGGCGCCAGGTGAAGACCTTTTTATTTAAACGTCATTTTAACTGTTAACAATATTTGCTTATTTATCTGGCCAGGGTGACTTCTTTTATATTTTTTATTCATTTTATATTGTTAATTTTAATTTTATATTGTTATTTTTGTATTTTATTGTATTTTATTGTGTTGTAAGCCGCCCCGAGGCTTCGGCAAGGGGCGGCATAGAAATGTTTTAATAAATAAATAAATAAATAAATAACCATGCAGGGTTGCTTGTTGTGTGAACCCAGTAATTGTTTATGTGTGGGGGGAGGGGGAGAGAGGGTCTGAAAAAAAAATAAAGTACATCCTTCGGAAAGGATTTTTCAAATATCTATGAGAGGAGGAAGAATTCTCTGTGGCTATGGGTCAGGATTGGAAATAGCCCCAGAACTGGAATGTGAGATCATTGGCAGAAAAATAGACAAGGAAAGATTTGCTGGCTACAAGCTATGGAGCGGCTAGCTGCTAGGAAACACTATTCCACTCTGTGCATGTAGATGATGTAGAAGGTGGGAAGCAATCTGCAAATAAATACCTACAAATATTTTTTGTTCTCATAGACGTCATGGAGCTTGAGCACATGGGGATGTTCAATGAGTTTCAAAATGGCAATTTCCCGTTCCACCTAAAATGGGAGAGAGAAAGAGAGAGAATGTGATTATATAAAGCAGCCTTTCCCAAGCTACTGTCCTCCGGATGTGCTGTAATACAGGTCTCATCTTCCTCACTCAGCATGTCCTGTGGGGATGATGGGAGTTGCCATTCAACTCCCATGCAAAGATTGCCAGGCTGGGGAAGACTGATGTGCCCTGAGATCTAGCAAAAGAAGAGCTCTGTTCCTAGTTCTTCTGTGAGGCAAAGGAAATTAAAGTAAATTGTATGGCATTTGTGCAAATTGCAAACTACTTGAAGAAAGGTTCTGATTCACAGCGGGAAGGAGGAACCAATTAAATTAAATTAAAAATAAATGGTTTGAGTGAGGAGACAAGCCTTCCTGGTTCCACCCACAATACTTCAGGGGGAAAAAACAGATCTTAAGGAACTACAAGGGTCGAGCCAGCTGTGTGTCACAGGCCCCACCAGTCAGGAATCTGACACAGCATCCCATGGTCCTCCTGTTGCAGGAAGCCAGGTGATGCTGAAGGACCAAACAGGTGCTATTTAACACAGGGCTAGGTGATAGGCAGCCCTCCAGATGTTCTTTGAACTTCAACTCCCATCAACCCTCACCATGGACTGTGCTGGCAAGGGCTGATGGGAGATGCAGCCCCAAACCTGAAGGGCCACTGTTTGCTCCCACTTCTAATTTCAGGATATAAAGTCTTGCCAACTGGCTGATGTCATTCTGCCTGGTGGTATGTTTCTGAGGGAGGCCACCTGCTTTCCCTGCATGCCTCCAGATTTCTGCTTTCTGTCTGCTGCCCACCTTGTGTTCTTTGCCTGCTCGCCTCCAGCCTAGTCAGCCTCATATGGAGGTACCTCGCTGGGATAACCACACACGACTGGCAGATGTAGGGCTCCCAATCTCATGCGGGCCCCTGATGCACAAAGCTGTCACACACACACGTGAGCACACACATCGCTTTGCATGCTAGAAGCAAAAAAGGGTTGTATCTGCTGCTGGACGTTTCATTCTGGTGTTGTCACGAACACACAAAAAAGCTGCTTCTTCACCAGTCATTTCAATGCTTTAAGCTCCCTTTCTGCAGTGCAGCTTTCTGCAACCTGGCACTGTCCACATGTGCTGGACTGCAAATCCCATAAACCTCAGCTAGCCACGCTGCTCTAGTGGTCTGGCGAAGGCACGCTTTTGGCACATTGCGGCTGCTGTGATTAAACTGCCCCAAATCGCTGCATGTCATGGCCATTAGCGCATGCCGAGCATCTCCACGTTTGGCTAACGAGATTTTTCTCCGCAGCAGCACAAATGTCTGAAAAGCAAAATAGATGCAGTGGTGGCAGTGGCTGGAAAAAACTCCAAAAGAGCTAGTCCATGCAGCTGGTAAGAGCTACAGTGCCCAGCAAGTCAAAGGCCTGGACTGCAGCCTGGAATATTGATGATGGTGGGAAATATGATCAGCTCACATCTTCCTGTTAGGCCAAACCCCAAACTTATTGAGCAAGCAATTGAAATAGGGAGTCAACTGGAGCACCCAGCAAAAAAAAAAAGTCAGCAGGCCCAGCATATGGAAGTGAAGAGAGATGGTCCATCTGTAACCCAGATTGGTTTTTCATGCCTTTGCTTCCCAGCTCTCCTTTGGCACCAAGGAACCCTCCCCAACCAGCCTGAGTGGTCAACGTTCAGGAATTCTAGGAGTTATAATCCAAATCAACTGAAGAGCACCAGGTTAATGAAGTCTGGATCGATCTATTTTTTGGCAATCACCCAACAAAAGGCCCAGTCTCACTGTTTCTAAAATGTCTACCACCACTCACCCTTGAGAAAAAATAGCCCTCCACTTTTATTCGCTTCCCTTGGTGCATACTTCTTTAAACTTGTGGATTTCTGGAACTGGTGAGAACCTGAATTTCCTTTGCACAACTCACAGCAGTGATGCATCTGCAAGACGTGAATGAGCCTGAAAGCTCTGCTAAGTTGATTTTCTTTTGGCAAGATATCCTGGCTTGACCTTTCCAGGGAAATGAAGGTGAGAGCCCAAGATCAGATCTGTAGAAAGCACAGCATGCGGCTTCTGTCTCTGTGGATTGTGATTTCAGCTCCACGCTCTTTCAGTCTTCATCTTCTTCACCCCCGCTTCCCCCACTCCAGACAAACATGTGCTCACCTTCATCAGAACTGACTCAGAAAGCTTTTCCCGGTTCACAATCTTAATGGCCACTTTTTGCCCTGTGATGCAGTGTACGCCCAGCTTCACCAGACCTATGGAAACAAAAAGAAGCCACCAAAGATCTACCATAATACTATGAATGAATCATAACCATGTGAAGCATGGTAACAATTACCTTTTCCTCGGCAGCACTCCCTTCAAAACTAGGGATTTAATACAGATAAAATATTTTAAGCAGCCCTCTCCCACCTGCTGCAAAATGAACATTCTGGACTTTAATTCCCATCAGTCCCAGACAGCATAGCTAGTGGCCAGGAATGCTAGAAGTGGTAGTCCAAAACATCTGGAAGCACCAGGTTGGGGAATGCTGTGCAGATTGTGTATTTATGCGTTCACCTGCTCACCACTGGCAAGAAGAAACCATGTGCAGGCGAGTGCGTGAGCTGGCAGAGGAGGACTGGGCTGCGTCCAACGTCAAAACCTTGTGGCTGCCAAAAGGGGAAAGCCCCCTTCTCTGTGCCTAGCATAAGAAATGCCGTGCATTGCTAGAGACGGGATGGAGCTTTCCAACCTCCCTCTGCTGGGCACCATTAGTCTAATACCGTGGCTCCCAGCCTTTTCTATGCCCCACAGCCCTAGAAACTGTTTGATTTATGTTTGCAACCCCTGCAAAAATAATATCACATTTGAAGATGAAGTCAAGTTTCTAATTTTTGAACTGCAGATTGAAGCACATGCAGTAGTACAAGTGAACAAACTGAACTCAAAAAATAAGCCTTTAACTTAATGCATAAAATTCAAATACAAATTAAGCAAATAGAAAAAAAAATGTATACAGTAAAATCAATCCCACTGGTGAACATAAAATTCATTGAATTCTTTGTTCCTGCTTTTCATTCATGATTTCGTCAAAACGTGGAACTTTCTTGCTGATTGTGACCTGCAAGTCTGCCTGTAGATTCAGGCAATTTCTAGATTCTGTCTTGATTGACAAACGAGAACTGAATCCAAATGCAAACAAAAGTATAATAAATAATTTTATTGGGGTAATTTTTGGTAAAAACTTTGCAATTCACCAATTTGGCAAACCATGATGCAGCCTTTCTCTTTGTCACACCCCAAATTAGAGAACGCCTGGTCTAATACAACCATAGCTGGGCTGGCGTCAAGGGTAGGTACGGTGGGGCACCTGCCAAGGACCCCCACCCCAGCAGAAGTGCAGTGACAAGTGTGCCTAGGCATTGCTCTTCCACCTCACCCTTCAACCTGCTTCTGCACATGCCTCTCATTCTGGCCTAGGTCATGGCAGTGGCCAGGCAGAGGAGGAGAGCCAAAGGCAGCTTGCTCACTGGCTTTCCGCTCATTAGGCAAGCAAGTGGCAGCAAAGCTGAGAGAGAGGATGAGGAGGAGCAGCACCTGGTGACAACACTGAGGAGAAGATCGACCATTAAAGGCATCTTGCCCGAAGACCATCTCATATGGGGGTGGCTGTATGTGTGCACACTTTTCTGTGTGTATACATACGCACATATATATGTAAACAAAGCAGATATTAGAAAAATGCCCTTTGAGTGCAGGTTTACTCAGACTTAAGCTCCCGTCCTCAAAGGAGCTGAGTTTCCAAGTAAATGTGTGCACAGAATTACACTGGGACTCTCCAATGCTCCGTCATTCAAAGGAAACGAACCCCCTTGGAGTACTTCCTCTGAAACGGCTCACTATTCAGGGAAACACGGGCAGTGCCACAACATGTATTGCTGGCTTGTAGGGAAACGCTTACATGCCAAAGTCAAGAAAATGTTGGAAGATCATGCCCCCAATTCCCAGGGAAGCAGCTGTCTTGATAGTATTACAACTCTGTCATTTCCCTATTTCCCTGAGCAGTACAAAGTTCCAGCAGCAGCTCAGATGGGTCACTCTGCTGTTTTTCTTGTCCTTTAGCCCCTGTGATTGTGAGTAGGATAGTTCCACATTAAAGCTGCAAAGTGAGCATTAATCTTATGGATTATTGCCATAGATCAGTGGCACAGCACACACGTTGCATGCAGAATGGCCCAACTTCAGTCCCTCGCATCGCCAGTTAAGATGTTCAGGAAGCAAGTGGTGGGAAAGATCTCTGCCTGCAGTCCTAGGGCAGCCTCTTCCAATCTGGTGCTCTCCAGATGGGTCAGGCTCTTGGCTCTTGGCGTCCCACTACCAGCCGGAGGATGCTGGAAGTTGTAGTCCAACACTGCTGGGGGGCACCACATTGGGGAATGCTGTTCTGGAATTTTGCTGCCTGTCAGTGTGGACAATACTGGGGGTGTTTCCAATTTTAGGCTTTTACAAGAGGTCCATATGTCATCAACTTCCATTTGTAGCCTTCCCAAGTTTCCCCATGGTTTCTTCTGTCTTTTTTCCCACCAGAAAAAAAAATCCACCCAGGAAGACACTGTTCTGTGGCAAAAGCCTTTTGATTGTTACTGATAGGGCCTTCAGTCTGGAAGCATCATGGGGTTAGGTAACTCTGCCCCTCCGTATCTCTCTGTACTTTAAGCACCAGGGACTAGATCAGTAATGGTGAACCTTTTAGAGACCAAGTGCCCAAACTGCAACCCAAAACCCACTTATTTACTTAAAGTGCCAGAACTACAATAAAACCTGAAAACTGAGGTTTTAGTTTAGAAAAAACACCTCACAGCCAGTCCAAGCAAATACACACACACACACACACGGCAGTGCACTGGCCGGCCATGTGAACGCTCGGACATCATTGCCTGGCCCCGCCACTCATTTCCGAGCATGTGCATGGCCCCTATGTGCACCGTTATACGATGCTCGGCTGCTGGGGTGATGCTGGGTGACTTGGCTCGCATGCCAGCAGGGAGGACTCTGCATACCCGCTGTGGTACGTGTGCCATAAGTTCACCACCGCTGGCCTAACCCTACCCTGGTGCATTCCCCTAACCCTAACATAGGGGTAGAATACCATTGAAAGGGGCGATTTTGAAAAAGCCTTCCTTGGGTAGATTTTTCTGCACAGCTCAACATTTCTGCCCATTCTGAACACATTCCAACCATCAAAGCCATGCCAGGACGCCTCGTTTTGCTAATCCTAACCCTACCCTGGTGCACACCCCTAACCCTAATATAGGGGTAAAATGCAATTGAAAATAATGCAATTTTGAAAAGGCCTTCCTTGAGTAGCTTTTTCTGCACATCTCAATATTTCTGCCTGTTCTAAACACCGTCCAACGATCAAAGCCATGCCAGGATGCCTCGTTTTTGTAACCCTAACCCTACCCTGGTGCACACCCCTAACCCTAATATAGGGGTAAAATGCCATTGAAAATAATGCGATTTTGAAAAAGCCTTCCTTGAGTAGCTTTTTCTGCACGTCGCAACATTTCTGCTTGTTCTAAACACCTTCCAACCATCAAAATCATGCCAGGACGCCTCGTTTTGCTAACCCTAACCCTGGTCAGGTGCACACCCCTAACCCTAATGTAGGGGTAAAATGCCATTGAAAATAATGCGATTTTGAAAAAGCCTTCCTTGAGTAGCTTTTTTCTGCACATCTCAACAGTTCTGCCCATTCTAAACACCTTCCAACCATCAAAATCATACCAGGACACTTCCTTTTTCTAACCCTAACCCAGTGATGGTGAACCTTTTAGAGACTGAGTGCCCAAACTGCAATCCAAAACCCACTTATTTACTTAAAGTGCCAACACTGCAATAAAACCTGAAAACTGAGGTTTTAGTTTAGAAAGAACTCCTCACAGGCAGCCCAAGCAAATATATATATTCATATCCTTGGCAGTGCATTGGTTGGCCATGTGAAAGCTCAGGCAAGTCGTAGCTAATGAGTCGCGGCTTGTGATGTCATCACCTGGCACCACTACTCCTTTCTGAGCATGGCCCGTATGTACGCTGTTATCCAATGCTTGGCTGCTGGGGCGATGCTGGGGTGACTTGGCTCACGTGCCACAGGTTCGGCACCACTGGACTAGATGACCTTGCCCCTCCATCGGTGCTTGTACCCCAGTATGTCTCTTCCTGCCACTTTCACTGGTCCAGCTCACCAAGCTCAACCATCCAACCTCAACCCTCCAACTCTCTCTTGCCACCTGAAACAATTTCAACCATTTCTTCTTGCTGCCTTTTACACCTGGAATACCTGTTAGAACACCTCCTTTCAACCACCTCTCATATTTTTTCAAGCACCTCCTCAAATCTTCCCTTTTCTGGGAAGTCTTGGATTTGTGCCCCTAGTCCAAGAATGGGAAACTGATTTTAAGTGAGGAGGCAAGTTGCCCCCCCCCCCCTCCAACAAGGTCCTTTGCAGTATCAGAGATGTCCAGGGCACGGCCACACCACTCACCGCATTGCCTATTTGTCGCTAGGAGGAACAGTCACACAAAGGTCTCTCCAGTGACAAATGTCTCATCTCCCATTAGAAATAACAGTGGGGATTTCCCCAGCAGACTCTAAGCTCCATGCTCCACCCCTAGATAAATTCACAGGCTGGATAACAAATCTCACCTCGGGTTAGAAGTTCTCCTCCTGTTCCTTCTACATTATTTTAACTAAGCCTAAAGTGTGTGTAATCAATCATAAAATGCCCCATGCATCCATTTCCCCCCATGCTGTCTCGGTTTTAGATTGTAAGCTCACTGAGGAACTTCTTACTCATTGTACATTGCCATGCAAATAGATGGCAAATGATGATAAGGGCGATATCTAATGGAGTGAGCAGGGAACCTCTGCAGGTTACCAATCCTTTGCACCAGGTTTACTACCCGGAGACACCCCACAGAACCCATTCTGTACCTCAGTGGGGGAGTGTTGGACCACCATGCCTTTTATCAGTCCTCTTAGGGATTAGGTCCATCCTCCTGCCCAACTTCTTTTTAGAAAAACTTTGATTTCTACCAGGTTTTAACTTTTTTCTAGGGAATGATAATCAATAAAATCCATTCTTCAGCAGCAGAAAAATAAAGCAACATCTAAGTCAATTAAGCAGGATTCATGCATGACATACAGGAAGAAGGCCAGATGTTTTACCAGTACTGTAGAAATGCTTGATACTCGTCAGGTGGAGCCATATTTG